TCTTGACTATGACTTTTCTTTTGCAAATAACGTGTACCAGGTATCCAGAAATTTGAGCTACAGTTGTCCAAAACATCAGATATACTTCCAATATTTCTGCTGAATTCTTTAAGACGTTTATCTTTAATAGAAACTCCAAACTCAGAAGGAGAAGGACATTGTTTTGATACAAAACAATTACTTCTAGATAATTTCATATCAAGTGATGGTTGTCTGAATTGTTCTTTTGCAGAACGACTATCATTAAAATCAATTGGATTTGATATTTCACTTGATGGTGTTCCTGGTGATAATGAAGATACAGGGCTATGGGTTTTAAAAGTAGAACTATATGACGGACGTACAACAACTTTTGGAGGAAGGCTTAATCTTGAAGTTGGTTGAGCACGTTCAACAACATTGTAATTAACTTTTTTTGTTGAACCAATTGATTCAGTCATAACAGCAAGCTCTGGTTCAACTTCAATTTTATTAACATCTTCAAGTCCAGTATTAATTAAATCATCCAAGTCAATTTCAGCCATTTGAAGTGAAACTAAAAAGTTTAAAAATTATTTTAAGAATTTTGTATTCAAATTAACCATTAATTTATGTTTTACTTTAAGTAATTTTTAAGCTGTTCTATAAAAAAAAATCTTCACAACTTTTGTTTCAGAACAAGTCATGAAAAGTCCTATTGGAGTTATTTATATTCTTTTTATAATTCAATAATATATTTTATTATTTTATTTTATTATTTTGAAACTCAATAATTTCAAATAAAAAAAATTTTTTAAAATATTTTACTTTTTTTATTTCATAAAAATCTACAAAAACACTTTTCTTTTTTTTTACTTATTCTTAATTCAAAAATACTCATTACAAATTAGGAAATTGATTGAAATTCTCATTGGAAATTCTTTCAATTAGAAAATTAGAATATCATTGCAGTATTTTCTATAGTCCTATCTTCTAATACAATAGGTTTAGTTGTTGTATTTTTTAATAATACATCACCTACTAACTTAACATTTTTTCCAAAAATAATATTTCCATCAACAACAAGTGCGTTGAGGTGTTCAATATTAGGAATTTGTTGCATATGTTTTTGGTAATCACTAATAAATTGGAAATCTTTACTAAATGTAACTGATGGTGGAATATCTGTTACCTTTCGAGCATTGTCAACCATGTGGCCTGACTCATTTAATCCAAATAATGTACTTTGAATAATAAATAAATCATTACATGCTTTTACTGGAAGGAATCTTGATCTTGGAACAATATATGCAGTAGTATGTTCAAATGCACTTACTGCACACCCAACTGCAATTTCTAATTGAATGACATCTCTTTGTCCGTCTTTTTTACGATTAACAATAATATCCATATTATTTAATAATGTCCTTTTTTCAACAACATGTTGGATAGCAGACATATTCATCCAAATATTATTAGTGTTAAATACTTTAAACTTCTTAATATCTTTAAATTCTGCAACATGTTCAGTTGGAACTTGTGCAATTTCTAACATTTTTAATTTATCACCATATCTAATAAGAGTACCTCCTTTAACATCATTTAAAGTTTTTGGAGTTAATTCTAAGGCAAAATCAAAATGATTTTTAGCAAAATGATGCATAATACTAATATCAGGAATAGCACCAAGATTATCTGAATTTGATAAGAATAAGTATTCTTTTCCTTCTTCTTTTAATATTTGGAATGCCTTAGAGTCAACAAATGATTGTAAAAAATCTCCATGTCCTGGTGGATACCATTCTTCTTTTCTTCCATTTAATTCAGTACATACAGGAAGAAGAGTTTGTGCATCAATTCTAGGAAATTTATGTTGTAAGAAAGTTAGTATTCTTACGTCATTATCTTGTTCATATTTTTTAATAACTTTCTCTGTTTCAACATTAGTAGAAAAAGAGTTCATAAGAACTAATGGAACAACAACCCCATATTCACGAGATAATGCTTTTAATTGAAGTATTATAATATCTAAGAATGTCAATCCATTTCTAACTTCAATTACACTTTTTGGACCAGTACATCCCATAGAAGTTCCTAATCCTCCATTGATCTTAATAATACAAATTTTCTTTAAAAGTGCTATAATCTCTTCTTTTGTAAAATCTTTATCTAATGTACAATAATCTACAGAAAACTCTTTTGGAAGTGATTCAACTTTTTCCCATTCAATACCAGTAGTCTTTTTATCTATTTGTTCAAGATAAGCATTATGGAGAATTTGAAATGACTTTAAATTCTTAGTGTCATCTTCACTGGCTCCTTGTTGAAGAAGGTGTTGGATAATTTCTTCAGTCTTTAATCTGATCTCTTGAGTATTCATCTGATTAATTTTAAGTTCCATGAGACATTCTTATCTTAAAAAGAATATTCTACATGTAAATATTTAAAATGGAACCTCAAAGTTCTTTTATCTTTAAAATAGTCTCTATTTATTATTTTTTTTGTTTATACTTTTGAAAAGATGTTTTTTTAATACACATACAACAATTTGATTGAACAATTGACATAGGTATATTGTGATTAAATAAATATAGATAAGATAATACAAAGTTGTAAAATTAAATGAAATATGAATATAAATAATAAAAAATAAGAGTATTTTATTATTGAATAAATCAGATATTAAACTGTATTAATACTAACCAATAATAGTAGTAAGAGTAAACATATAATGAACAATTCATTAGTAACTATATTACTTTTTAAATAAGAAATATACATATGGGGTTATCTTAATAAAAAAATAATATGTTAAAAAAATGATAAACTATGAAAATTGAATAAAATTATCAAAACAAAAAAATATAAAATAGTTTGTTATGATACAATAAAATACAAAAATAAATAAATTATATTAATAGATTCGTTTATACTATAAAAAAAAAAGAAATGATTCAATGATTAAAAATAAAAAAAATCAATTTCTAAATTGTTGATATAAAATAGTTATTATATCTTCACTTAAATAAAAAGACTTTATTTCTGAATAAATAATAAATGCAAATTAATAATTTTTATTAAATAATTAGAGTTACATATTAAATAGAATTGATTAAACTAATTAACAAACATTAATAATGAATATTTTTAGAATATATACAAAAAGAAAAATTTTTTATAATTTAAGAAATATTTAAATCATTCTTTCAAAATCTATTGATAGTATTCCAGTTCATTTATTATTTTACATATTTTCTTATACATTCAAGTTGTTAAACAAAATTGTTAATTATCATTTGATAAATATCTTTATTTATTGTCATTGTTATTTTTCATCATTTAATTAGTTTTGTATAAATTTCTTTAGTGTTCTTTATCTATAATAAATTTATACATTACTAATACTCATCTATTTTAATTTTTTGATTCTTTATTATTTCACTTGCACTTTTGTATACTCTCTTCTTTCTATAAATTTTTTTTCTTCTCTGTTTAATCAAAAGAAAAGCTGTTTACTTAGTTTTTTTTGTTTAGGTATTTTATTAGTATTTCTTAATTTATAAATTTGTTGACTCAAAACAACTACTACTTCGTGACATCTCTTATCAAAGTTTCTTGCCCAATTGGTGATGGTTTTTCTTCTCTTTCTTTTTTTTTATTAAATTAATGAAACTAAAATATTTTTTGAAAGTCTTTAACAAAGAGTTCATTTTAATTGTTTCAAGAGATTGGTTCAAATGCAATCTAAAAGGTGTATAGTTCTAACTTAATAGTTAAAATAGAGAAAAGAAAATAGTTTAATTAGTAAGGAGGAAATGGTACAGTTGGATGCAGGTTATTTATTCCGAGATTCAAAAAATTGAGAAATAAAAGAGTATGGAAGTCAAAATGTTAGTAGAAATCCAATTATAAAAAAAGAAAAAAGTTTTCAATATTTTTGTTATTGAATTTAAGAAAAAAGAAGAAAAGTTCCAAAAGGAAAGAAAAAAAGGGTAAATTATAAAATGAATAGAACTCTAAATCATTTTATATCTAATAAATGAGGGTAGTTACTCATTCCATTATCTCTCTTTTAACCGATGAAGAAAATTTAAGTGCTGAAGATGTTGAAATAATTTCTGGAGAGATTAAAGAGTCATTAGAATCATTTGTACCAATACCATTACACTCATATGAAAAAATAAAAAGAAGTAATTCTGCATGTTTAAGTTCTGATTTTGTTTGTTAAAGAAATGTTTTTATTAAACAAATAAAATATTTATTATATTTATAAATAGATTATTCCATTTGTAAAATGTGAAGAATCAATGTTTTCTTATTTAGCACCACTGTGTTCAGTTGAGATAACAAAAAATAATAATGAACAAATATTAACACTTTCAAGTAGAGTTTTAGATTTAATGAATACACAACCTTCATTTCAAAAAAAACTTCTAAATAAAAATAAAAATTATTCATTACCAGAACTTTGTAAGGATCAACAAGGAAGTAGAAAAATACAACAGTTTTTTGAAATTGCTACAGAAGAAGAAATTGATCAAATATTTAGATTAATTTATTCAGATTCAATTGAACTTATGATAGATTTATTTGGAAATTATGTTATTCAAAAATTATTAGAACATGGAACAAAAAAACATGTTCATTTATTATTTGAAAAATTACAAGGAAATGTTGTAAAATTATCACTTCATATGTATGGCTGTCGTGTTATTCAAAAAATTCTTGAAGTTCTTTCTTCAGAAGAAGTAAGAATTATTTCGGCAGAAATTAAATCAAATGTTTCAACATTTATTGAAGATCAAAATGGAAATCATGTTATTCAAAAATTTATTGATTTTGCATCAGAAATTGATTTAAATTTTATGATAGATGAAATTTATACAAAAGCCGTTGAATATTCTAAACATCCATATGGTTGTAGAGTTATTCAACGACTAATAGAAAAAAATTCACAAAATTGTGTTAAGAGAGTAACAGATAAATTAGTTGAATATGTATGGGAATTATCAATTAATCAATATGGAAATTATGTTATTCAACACCTTATTCAATATGGTACTAATGAACAAAGAATAAAAATAGTTAATAATATTAAAGGTAAATTATATGAATATTCAATGAAAAAATATTCTAGTAATGTTGTTGAAAAATGTATTCGTTGTTGTGAATCAAGAGAACAAATTATTCTTGTTAATGAACTTTGTAATAGCAATGTTACTAATAAACAAATTAATGAAATGATTTGTGATCCGTATGCCAATTATGTTATTCAAAGATTAATAGAAATGATGGATGCAAATCAAAAAAATTATTTCATTGAAACTTTTATTTCACCAAATATTGATGCATTAAGAAGAAATACACATGCCAAACATTTGATTCAAAGAATTGTTACATCAACTTTATAGATATGTTAAGATAGTATTATAAATAAATTAATCTTTTAAATAAAGATTCTATTTAAAAAAGAACATAAAAATTAGACAATTAGAATTTACATAAAATCTAATTCAATAATTTTTAACTAAACTTCTTGTGTTTTATTTAAATATTTTCAATTCGATGTATACATTTATTATGAAAAAAGTTAAGGAATACAAACCACTCTTTTAACCATAACGACCTATTTAATAATAATTTATAATTTACTCCAGCATTTTTAATAGAAGAAAGTATATTAATAAATGAATCACAATCCATAAAATAATAACTATCAATTTCACTTATATCAAGTGATATTGAAGAATTAATTTCTTGACATAATTGAATTGCTTTATTTATTTCATTCTTTTCATATGAATTAAAATAATTAAAATATATTGTTCTAAAATGTGGATATAAACTACTATCATTGTTTTTTTGATAATATCGTTTAAAAAATTCATAATCTAATACATCAATTCCTCCATAATTTTTGTATATATTTTTTAATTTTATATCTAATTCTTTTAATTCAACCATGTAATTAATATCAGTATCACCAAATCCAAAATTATAAACATTATGAAATTGAATACCAATGTACTTCTTTGAACTACTTTCTTCTTTACTTAACCATGGAATAACCATTTTTTCTATTATAGTTATATTATTATTTGGAACAATAAATACTAAATTATATCCCTTCATCAATTCTTCAAATGTAGTTCCATTTTTATCTATTGTTTGGTTCATATAAAATGTAGGTACTGTTAATGTAAGTTCATGGTTTTTTAAGTAAATAGAATATAGTTCTAATGAATTTTTCCAATCTTCCCATGCTTTATATTCAGGTTGTCTCCATGTCGATAAAACATGTGGAAGCATAAAAATATTCATTTCATAAGAAGTAGCAGACGTAATAAAATATAAAGTAAATACATAATCATGGAATGTATTAAGTTATTTTTTTATCAATAATATTTTTGTTTATTTTTTAGAGTTCATTTTTATTTTTCTTTTCTTTTAAATATCAACTTCTCAAAAACTATCTCATTACATCTCATTTCTTTTATTTAAATTTAAATACTCCCAAAAAACTTAAAATTAATCTAAAAAAAATTTTTTTTTAAGATTTATTCTTTTCTTTCTTGCTTCATGTTTCAATTACATAAAAGAAAATATGACACTGAAGAGATAAATTCCAATAAGAGTTTTAAAAAAACTCATTGTAAAGACTTATTGTTTTGTGATAATGTATCAAATAAAATAACACAAAATGAAGATCCTTTAACTCGTTTAAGAAGAAGCGAATTATCAACAACAAGAAAAGTAAAACAATACACACCATCAGAAGGGATTAACGAAAAAGAAATCATTCAAATCTCAAACTTTGGTATTTCTCAACCAACAACAATGGCCAGTTTCATTTCTAAAATTGTTAAAGCAAAACAGGAATTAATACCTTGTGTATCATCAAATAATCTAACTAAAGTTGTTAATATTCTCGCTCCATTAATTGATAATTTATATATTAATCTAAAACCAGCAGTATATGCCTCATTACACGATTATATTACTTCACTTCTTTCAACATTTTCTAAAGAATTACAAAACAAATTATATTTATTACATGCCAATGACCAATTAAATTTATTACTAAATTACGAAGAAGTAATTGACTCAGTAACAAAGAATCATCTTTCAAATTTATATCTTCATTCCATTATTTTAATTCTTATAAAACCATTTCTTTCACCAAATGATTTCAAAACAAAACAAACTAAAATTATTAATCAAATAGGATTTATTCCTATTAATTTTGGAGTTGAGCAATATGTTTGGTTTATGACTAAACAAGGATTTGTATGGAGTACTTTACTTCAAACTTTAATTAATATTGAAAATAAAAATGGAGTTGGTGACCCTACAGTCACTCATTGTTTATTCTGTGTTGTAGGTGAAATGGGAATTCCTTTAACTGAATACATATCTCTCTCAAACGATAGTCAAACACTGGCAGGCATTATCAAAGGAATGACTGCCAATGAAATATCACATGAAGCAATTTCACTGTTTAATGCAATTAATAAAACAACAAATACAATAGAACTTAAATTGAAAGCTATTTGTACATTAGGAAGAGCTCTTGGAAAAGCAACAAAGTTGGAGAATGCAGAAGACATTAATCTCGCAATGTGGAAGTTAGCTTCTAGTATTAATACTAGTGAAGAAATGATTAAATTTTCAACTGATCTTATTGGGTGTACTGCTCGTCATTGTTCTATTAAAACATTAGACCAAGTTTTGCGATCAATTGGTAACAAGCTTGATAAATTTGGAACGAAACAAGCCGACAAATTAGATAAAATAATATTAAAAGCTATTGCTCCATTAACTGGAAGACAATTATGTAGTATTCTCAGTTGTGATGGTATGTCAAAAATGTTTGAATTTTTAAGTATTGAACAACAAGAAAGTATTGCGTCTCCATTATTTATTAAAATTGAATTGTTAAGGTATGAAAGAAGAGTCCCTTTAAATGACATTCGAACAATTCAAATTTTACTTCGATTAGGACAACATTTAGATTCAAAAACAAGAATAGAAAGAATGTCCTCTTCATGTGAAACAGAAAGAGCTATTATGTATTTTATAGAGTGTGTAGATTTTGGAAAAAATCTTGACCGTCAAATGACTTTCTATAGTGATTGTAGACAATCATTCTTTCACTCAATCACTATTAAGACATTATTAATTCATTTAGCTTTAAGACTAACTGTTTATTCACAAAAGTTACATTCAAAAGATACAAGAAAATCTTTTGTAAGAGGAAGTCTTGCATTTGTGTATTGTACGATTTTTGAATTAAACTCATCATTTGAAATAGGTAAATTAGCAGTATTAGGATGTTCTGTTTCATTAAAAGTTGAATCATTTGCACAAGCAGATGCATTTATGAAAATTGCACTTTCAATAGTCCAAGAAAGAAAAGAAGAATTAGAATTAGATCAATTAAGAACATTACTAAAAGAAATTTGGGGACTCTCATTAGCATATCCTGATAATACTCCACTTGAAATTCCAATTCAATTAATGAAAGTTCCAATTGGAAAAAGTATTGAAGATATAGAGTATTTGTGTGGAGTATTACAAATGATTGTATCTTTTGCTATGCCATCATTTTTATATCATATAGAAAATGTTGAGTCTGATGATACATTATTTAGAGGTGATACAACTTATATTGAAGAAAATGGAAATCTATTAATTAATATTATATCAATGATAAAAGAACGTATTCTTAATGAAGAATTAGTTGGAAATAACAAACTTCGAGGAATTGGTTTATTTATTGATACTCTTTTAACTGTGACTGAACCAAATGAAAAGTTATTAAAATTTTGTGATAAACTAATAACGTCTATTCAACCCATTGACTCTCAATTACAATATGCAAAATATATATCAAAAATATCAAATAAACTTCAACAAAGAATTGAGCAATTAGAAAATAGTTCAAACGAAGAATAAAAAAATAATTTTTATAATTGAAATGATTTTAAAAAAAATTAAAAAATATTTTATTTAATTTTTAGTTGGAATACAATACAATCACAGGTTTTGTTTTGCAAATACACCAAATTGGGTACTTGAAAAATAAACCGCAGTTTCAACTTCTTCTGGATTTAACCCAAAATTTTGAAGGAATTGTTGAACAACTTCAATATTTCCTGTTGTTTGTACGCAATCAGCACGTTCACTTAAAAGTTCTAAATTTTCTTTACATCTATTTCCCTGCATAGTTGAAAAACGAGGAAAGTGCATTGGAATAAATACAGTCATTTTGTATTTTTTTATATTATATTTTTGTTTAGTAAATGAATTTTCAGTTCCATTAAGAATCGTATTAGACCTTTTTTTAGGGCTGTCAGTTCTTTGAACCATATTTAAATATTCCTGTGTCTCTTTTCTATCTATTCTTGATGTTGTTGAATTGAAAAAATAACTAGATGACTCTGTTAGTTCTAATGATTGTAAAGGTGGAGTTTCTTGATGAATTGAAAGAGTATCACCAGAAACAAAATTACTTTGAGACATACCTAATCCAAATGAATTTTGTGAAAAATTTTTTGGTTGAATACAAATAATTGGTGTTTCAGTTTCTTGATCAGCCTCTTGAGGAGTTAAAAGTCTCCAATCAGGATATCTAATTAATAATTTTTCATTTTTAATAACAGGATATTCAACATTATATCTTTTATGTAAATGAAGTTTTCTTTGTGGTGGATATAAATGTGCTTCTTTAAGAAATTGAACTGTTTCTTCATTTTCACGAATAACAGTATGTTTTGGTGTACCAATAATTCGTTCTATTTGATCACAATATGTTTTACATGCATTAAATTCATTTTGATGACTTAAACTACCAACCCAAATATATACATTTCCTTCCATTGCAAAAACAACAAAGCATCCTCTTGAATCAAATATAGAATCTAATGGATAATATGGGGAATCTCCTGGTGTTAACATTTGAATTGTTGTTTTTTCTCCAATTAAAGAATTTTCTGAACCAACAGTTAAAGCACGAGCAATATAAATAGGATAAATACTAGAATTTATATGTGGACGTAATTTACTATAAACAACATGAGACGGTTTATGTGTTTGTAATAATACTTGAAAATTCTTTAACTGAAATTCAAAACTAATATTTGGACATGCTACACTTCTCCTTGTTCTTACTTCTGCTAATGCTTCATCGAAAGTAAATTTATTTGCATACATTAAATATGATAAAACAAGTGATACACTTCTACTAATTCCAGCATGGCAATGAACGAGACATTTATTCTTTTTATTTGCTTTCCTTAAATTAGTTAAAAAATCGATAGCATGAAAAATAAAACTAGATAAATCTTGTTCTGTATCATCACTCATATCAAATGCTAAGTATTTAAATTTTTGTGGAAATCCTGTTTTTGCAACTCCAATCGCTGCATTAATAATATATCCAATTTCTGTTTTCTAATAAGAAGATGAACTTGTTTTATTTCTTCATTACTTATCATGAAATTTAATAACATAAAAAATTAAAACAAACTTCTAATATTTCAGGATCTGCTGCTGTCATTTCTCCAGAAATGAATAACCAATCTTCAATCTCACTTAATTCATTTCTGTTTACTCTTAAACTAGGAGGTAATGCCATACTAGGATCATTTCTTAATGTTGCATCTCTTACGTCATGTGCCTTTGAAAGGTCAATCTTCATTTTCATCATTATCATCTTTCTTTTCGGTCGTTGTTTTTCTGTCTCGCCACTCATTTTGATTGAAATTTTATAAACTGAGTTCAATTTTCTTTTTTTTATTCTCTTTTTTTATTTCTTCCTAATATCCCGATTATACACTATATTCTTAAGGATTTTTTTAATTTTTAGTTTAGATCTATGATTTTGATAATTTAAAAAAAAATTCTATTAATAAATTTGTTTCTAAATTAATCCAATTTGAAATTATTGTACATCAACTGTCTTCATTAATTCATCAAAATCTTCTTTTGAATAATGTTGTTTTATTAAACTAATTCTTGGAGTTAAAATACCATGAGATTCTATTACAGGACGAGCAGTAATAATTGGAAGAGTAATATCACAATAATAGTCCAAGTGCAGAAGATTCCAAGCAAATTGGTCGATTGTAACAACTTCATAATGTTTACCATCGACCCTATATTTTAAAGGTCTATAATCGTAATACAATGGTTCAATAAATTGATAACACTCTTTTGAAGAACCAACAAGCCTTAAATAAAATGCTCCAATAGCACGAACATATTTAAATTCATCATTCATAATATATTCATAGATAATACTTTTATCAGGTCTAAGCATTAACAATTTCATTATTAAAACTATAAATTTTGTTGGTTTTTTTAATATACCATACGTTCCACCAAAATCGTGTAATTTAATAATCTCATCAAGAATTGTTTCACTGGTTAATGTAAAACATTGTTGTTTCCAGTATTCACAATTATATATTTTATTTCTAAGAATTGTTTCAAGACGACGTTCTGGACCAGACATAAAATAATAAAAAAGAAGAAATTTTGTTTTATTTCATTATATTTTTCTTTTTTCTTTTAAATCTAAAAATTAATAATTGAACTAATTATTTTTTTGTTTATATGTCGTTTAGTGAATTAACAATTTCATTTGATGGTTCAGCAAATATAGTTACTGGAACTCTTTACGTTATTTTATTTACATGCGTTTGTACATATTTGTCATTTAAATTTTTTTCAAGAGAAATAAATATTTCATATATTATGTTAATTCTATTATTCCTTGCAAAAACAATATGTTTTTCTGTTTATGGAATAATGTCAATTTATGGTAAAAAGAATTGTGAATTATTTTATTTAACAAGATTGGCTTATTTTTGTACTTTTTTATTAATTACATATACTTATTATCATTGGTGCAATTCATTTTGTGAAAATGAAATTAAAATAGTTGAAATGAAAGTTGTTAAATGGACAATTCTTTTAATGAATATTATTGTATTTGTTGCAATAACTTCTGCATTTTTTTATTATCTTGCACAAGGAAGTTATTGCTCTGACTCAAATACTTTTGCAGTAAAACTTAATACTTGGATGATTACTTCAAGTAATTTATTAGTTGCTTTTTTCTGTGTAACATTCACAATTTATTTAATTTATGCATACAGAAAGACAGTTCATCACTTATTATCACTTCAATCAAAGAGGTCATTTAGTATTGTAATTATTTGCTCTTTTATTCTTGTATTTGAAATGACAATGAGGGTTGTTTTCCATCTTTATAAACCGATAACAAATCATTATATGAACGATATTCTTTTTAGATCAGGAACATATTACATTCCTGATATTATCGAATACACAATTATATGTTTGTTTTATGGTACAATTCAATTATTTAATTTTAAATGATAATAACATATAGTAATTATGTGGAACCTTGATGTAATATCAGCTTCAATAACAAAACATGATGAAAAAGAATTATTAAAACGTTCAGAAATTATTATTAGAAATATCACAATACGTTATTATGATAAAACAGATATAAGTCATAGAGATTTGTTTGAAAAATTTATGCAACCTGAGTCTGGTTCAAATAAAACTGATGAAAGTGATGACGCTCCTATAACAGATGAAACTTATCGTAACTCTTGTGTTTTATCTAATGTTAAAAATCCTTTATTAATGAATGATGATAATCCAGATATTTTGTAAAATACTCTCTTTATTTAATTCAATTAAAATATTTAAAACCCTAAACAAAAGACCATCATTTTCTTAAAAAAAAATTTAGAATCCAATTTTTTCAGCATATTTCTTGGCATTTGCCTTAACGATTCCATCATACTTCTTCATATAAGCAGCTTGTTTAGCAGTTCTCTTAACAGTACCTTTAAGAAGATTATTTTCAACTTTTACTTTAACAACCTTTCCATCTACTTTTTGTGCTTTAACAAATCTCTTAGCAACTGATTGGTTTAATGCTTCTTTCTTAGCGGCAAGAATCTTTTCAACTTTAGCTGCATATTGTGCTTTATGTGCTGCTTGTGCTTTAGCAACTTGTGCAAGTTTATGTGAAGCAATTTTAGCATATGGATTTAATTTGACCATAGCAGCCCAGTTCTTAAGTGGATTTGTTCTCTTTGGTACTTTTGGTAAAACAATTTTAGCTCTAAGAAGTTTAGCTTTTTCAGCAGCAACAACAACTCTCTTCATATCTGGAACAGCCATTTGAGCATGAGCAATTCTAAATCCTGATTTACCTTGTGCCATCTTCTTTTGAGTTCCAAAGATAGTGTTAAGTTTCTTGAATGCTGATTCTGTCCAAATAATGAATCTACCCATATGACATCCTGGTGCAAGATTAAGAACTGAAAGATTTTCAACACGGCATGTATCTACACCTGGAATATTTCTAAATGCTTTAACAGCTTGAAGATCATCATTACCATAAACAACTAATGGTCCCTTTCTTTCCTTAATCTTTCTTCCTCTCATTTTTCCTTGACCAGCACGAATAGTCTTTGAAGCAATAACTTTAAGAACATCTGAATAAGCATTAATTTTCTTTAAGAGATAAACAGCTTGTTTGGTCTTCTTAATAACTGAAATTGATTTTGAATTAACAACTAATGGAATTTGTGGTACTCCAGCAATATGATGTCCACGTGCTGAAACAAGAGCTGGAACAGCTGAAGCAGCAATACATGAAACAACAGCAAATCTTCTCATTTGTTTTGGTGTTTTTCTTTGCCATTTTCTGAAGTTCTTAAGTGGAGAGAACATATGACCCTTTCTAGTCATATTACCAAAAGCACCTTGTCCGTTTCTTCCTGATCCTGATCCACTAATTCTTGGAATTCTAGCTACAGCTCTTCCAGTTCCCCATGAAATGGCTGAGTGTTGTTTACCAGCTTCAGTTGATACTCCTTCTGGTTGTCTAGTGTTTTTACTTTGATTTCTATAAACGAAATGAACTACATCCCCTCTAATTGGTGCAAGAAAAACTGCTGGAAGTCTAACTGGTGTTTTTTCAGCTTCTCCAGTGATTCCATCATAAATAGTGACAAATGGTCTGCTGCTCATTCCAATTATCGCTTGAATTTTTAGTAAAACCCTAGTTCTTAAGTTAGATCTCAGGGTTTACTTCTAATTTAGTTTTTCTCATTTATAATAACATTTTTTTTCTTTTTGTTATTTATTTTTTTTTTTAATTCCTTCTTATTTCATTTCAAATATATTATTATCTTTAATTCTTGTGTATGAAATACTTTTTTTATTACTTTGAGTTAATTCTTTATTTCTTTTGGTGTTTTTTATAATTTCATTATATATTAAACGAAAAAGTAATTGATCTAAAATGATGATTATTGAAATGTATTATACTATTGTAACAACAATATTAGAGAGTGTTAAAATAATGTCACTAGTATAAACAGTTGTCTGTTCTAATTTAGTGATTATAAATTGGTTTAGTATTGTTTAATGTAAATATAATTATGTTTAAGAATGAACTTCATTTTTTTTAAATAAATTAAATTTGTTAATAATGGGACATGATTCAAAGCAAGTAAATAATAAATAAAGAAAATTAAATGAAAGAGAAATGAATAACTACAATATTAATTTTTTTAAAGTCCAATAGAAGTTCAAAAAGATAATTAGAACTAAAAAATAGAATATAATTTCTAAATGTATGATTTTATGAAAGTTTATTGGTTATATCAATCAAGTGATTTAGCCTTAGCTGACAGTTCTAAAGAACCAACTAATAGTCCAGAAAATATAACATGGGAATGGATATTGTATATAATATTTTGGGGGTTATTATTGTTTTATTTTATTTGTTTCATAATTGGAGGTATTGTGATTCAAATAATACGAAGAAAACAAAAATATATTGATTTTGGTAGTGATGAAGAAATTTATAGTTTTTCTGGTTCAAGTGTAAATTCTTATCCAGAAGATGAATATAATACTAAATGATTTGTTTGTAAATTAGAAGAATTTTATTCAAAGCAAAGTTTTTAGTTATACAAAAAAAAGAAATAGAAAGAAAAAACTAAAATAAGTAAAATCATTTGTTCAATCAATCAAAATATAGTCATTCCCTAATAAGAGATTATCATTTAAAATGATGTTGCTCCAAGTGCTGTTATCCTCATTCCTGTATTCATTTCTAACGAAATATTTCCTTCTCTATCAATAATTAATAATTTTCCGTCAGAATATCCAACAGCAAATCCAACCCATTCCCCAACAATAATTTGTTGAACTCCTCTAATTCTTCCTTCTCCTGTTTGAATAATTTGTTTCATAGGATATTCTTGTTCTTTTTCATCTTCTTCAATATCTAACTCATCTTCAATGCTATTATCTTCAATACCATCTTTTATTTTTTCATCTACCTTTTCTTTCTCTTCTTGATTTTCATTTTCCATTTTTTCTTTAGTTCGTTCAATTGTTTCCATTTCTTCAATATTTGCAGTAGCAACTTTTTCATCATCTGAATTTAAAGAAATGTCTGAATCGCTCTTTTGTTCTTTCAAATCAATACCTTCCTCTTGTTCTTCTTTCTTTTCATTATCATCACCTTCTTTTAATTCATTAAATTTATTTATAATTTCTTTTTCTTTTTCAATTGTTTCTTTAATTTCTTCTGAAGTAATAAAATCCCAAGTAATAATTTCACCTTTATCAGTTCCTATCATAAGTAAATTGTCGAAAGATGAAGCAACACGTACAACTTGTTTTGGATTACATTCTAATATTTTAAATTCTTCAAACTTTCTGTTATAAACTGTTATTAAATTTTTATGTGAAATACAGAAAAATTCATCATTATGAACCCAATTAATTGTTTCTGGATCAAATGTTAACTTTGTTTCAAATGCTACTTTTCCACGATAAAGGTCAACAACTTTCATATATTTTTTTCCAATACATAAACAAATTTTTCCAGTTGAATCTAAAGCAATATCAACAACCCCATCTTTACTAACATGAATTTTATTAATTAAATCTACTTTCTTTGGTGATAGTTTGTAAAAAATAATATTTCCATCATCTGAACAAGAGATCATCTCTTCATTTAATATAACAATTTTATTAACTGTACCACTATGATCCATTAATGTACATACCTCTCTCTTAATTGTTAAGTCATACAACCTTATTAAATCGTCAGTTCCTCCAAGTGCTAAATAATGGGGAGACACTGCAACAGTTTTAATACAATTTTTATCAACTTTAAATCCAAATAACTGTTGTGACTTTAGTTCTAAGTTTTCATTAGACTGAAATTCCCAACCAGACAAGAAACTGTTATATGACCCAACAGCAACGATACTCATTTTCTTTAACTGAGATTTATTTTTCTTTTTTATAAAAACCCTTTTTTTTTTTTAATTTTGTTTTGACAAGTTTTTATCTTTTCATTTTTATTTTTAGAATGGTTTTTGGTTTAATAATTTATAGATTTTTCTTTTGTTCAAAAAGACTTTTACTCTATGGAAAAATATCAGTACTCTTCGAATTGTAATGAAAACCATAATTAAAGAAATCATTCAAACAGACCAAGGATTTCATTATCTCTTTACAGTTGATAATAGAATTCAGATTGTTGACGTTAATAAAGCAATTATCATAAGAGAGATTGATCTACGTAATGATACTGTTTTATGTACTCCACATAAAGTTATGTACAATGAAGGAAGAGTATGTTTTGTGTCACAAAATGGAATTGAGTTCTTTTCTGTTTATGGTGGATCATTTGAATTTATAGGATTAATTAACCAAGCCCAATTAATTGATGAAAATAATTCACCAATTTATATAACTGATGTAAGTTTAGATAAAGAACTAATTACATTTTCATCGAATATAGGGAAAGTATTATTAATGGACTATCCATCATTAAAAATGATATGTCAAATTCCATTAACTAAAACTCCATTAAGATGTATTAAATTATCAAGGGACGATTCAATGTTATATGGTATTGATGTTAATGGAATTTTTGTAGCAGTAGAATTACATCACTTTAAATTGTACGTAATGAGAGTTAAAGCTGAAGAAGATTTAAGAGAATACTTTAGTACAATAGACGATATGAATTTAACACTTACAAAAGATGGATGTCTTATTCAATGTGATGGACAAGTAGCACAATACCGAATAGATATGCCATCAATATTTAAATATCAAATAAAAGGTGTTCAAGATGTTAAATGTATAAATGATAAAATATATATTTCAACACTTAATCAAATATATGTTTTTGATCAATGTAATGAAGAAGCAATTCAACAATTTACTTTTAATTCACAACCACAACAAACCATGAAAACTGTTATTATATTTCCAAATATTTTAATTTACACAATCAACGGAATAACTTCTTATAAAATTCCTAATATTCCACAAAGAATGTCAGTTATTCCAAAAAAGTCTTTAAATGTTCTTTTTAAATCAATTAAAATACCAAATAACTTAACACTTCTTCAAATTCAATTAGGAAATGATAGAGAAATTTATGGGTTTGATTTAAATGGTATTATTTATCATTGTTGTCTTCCTAAATTATTACCATCTACTTCTCAAATTTATTTTAAAATGGAAAATTCAAAAACTGAATTTGAAAGATGTTGTATTACATCTAATGGTAATTATGGTTTATTTTCTGCTGGTAATAAACTTCTTCTTCAAGAATTAAAAACTGGAAATACTCATTTATTGTATACTCCAAAACAATTACCTGATGATAGTGTTAATATTATAAGTGCTTGTCCTTCTAATTCTTTTATTATAGGAATAGGATGTTTTAATGGTAATGTCTTTGAAATAAATACTAATAATTCAATTCCAATACATGTAACTTCTCATTTAAATTCTCCAATTATTGGAATTGGATTTATTAATAAAAAAATTATTTCATTATCAGAAAATGGAATATTAAATTTTGATGGAAAAACATTACACCTATCTATCTCTCCAATTTCTATGGACACATTTAATGAATTTATTATTATTAATGATCTTCATTCAGTAACACTATATTCAATAAATAACTGGAAAGTATTATATAAATTTGAAAGTTCATCACCAATTATTGATGCAAAATTTTCATGTGATGGAAAGTTTATTATTTGTGTTTCTAAAGATAGGTGTAATGTTTTAAGAAGTTCAGATCTTGGCATTTGTACATATCTTCTAGTTTCTTCACTTCAAAACCAATTAAAATTAAATACTCAAATTATTGGAATGACTGTTTCTAAAATTATTCCTTGTCAATTTGCTGTTTCTTTTCAAGGAGGTGTTGTGATGTTAATTGAACCCAGAACTTATTCTGATTGGATTTATTAATAAATTCAGTTATTTTTTCATTATTTATATTTTTCAAAAAAATGTTTTTCTTTTTCTCTTTCAAATAAATTATATTTTTTATTCGAAAATCATATACTATTTATTTATTATCTTATTTATTCTGTTTACTATTGTTCAATCCTTGTATAAGTCAACTTCTTTTTTTTTGTTTTTGTTCTTATTTCATCTAGAAATTTTAAGAATTGTTTTTAATAAAAATTTATCTTAAAAAATCATCTAAAAATAATAAAACATGAAACTGAAAAATAAAATAATAAATTATTAAAATAGTAAAATTAATTAAAATTTACAAAAATAAAAAAAGGAGAAACAAAATAAGAAGAAGAAATTCTTCTACAAGAATCTATATATTCCAATAGAAGTTTAATTTTTAATAAAAAAGAAAGGATTTTTAAAAATTAAAAAAATAATATCAACTCAAAAAAATTGTTTGTTGTTAACAAATTTCATTTTTATGTTACTTACTCTTGAAAGACAAACATCTTCGTCAACAGAATTTATTAATGAAAAAGAGGTGTGTGTTGTTGTTAAACAATCAATATTTACTTTAACAATAACTTCTCCACATAGGATAGATGGAACTATTGACTGCGAATTAGTTTATGATATGGACGATTTAAAACCAGTTGGGTACGTTTCTCAAAATCCATTATCGTTTAAAGTCCAACAAATTACTTCAAATACTATAAACATTGAATGCAAATTAGCTGTTTTATCATCTCAACATGAAGATTTATTATTCCGAGTTCATGTCAAGTTATTATTAGGAGATTCTGTGATTGGGTCAATCTATTCTCATCCAATCAAATCAACAAGTAAAGCTGATTCACATCGTAAAACAAAATTAAATAAAAGTTGTTCTGAAACAAAACCTAAAAAATTATCAAAAGTTAAAAAAGAATCAAAAAAATTTGCTTCTACTTTAATTTTACCTCAAGAACGTTCTTTAGAAATTGAAATTATTAAAGCAAATAGAGATCTTATTCAAAAATTAAATGATAATTTAAATCGTCAAAATGAAAAAACTAAAACATTAAATGGAAGTATTTCTGAATTAATCTGGAAATTGTCTCAATATGACTATAACCAACATGTTCAAATGATTTGTGAAGTTCTTACTCTATTTACTCCAGAACAACTCGAAGTTCTTCAGGAAATTGCATCGATATTCCAATCTGCCTGTCCAATTCAAAACACACAAGAACAACCTTATGTCCCTTATCAAGAAATGAATGCTTATTGGAATCCTAACTTTGAAGAATCATTCATGTAATTTTTTTATTAACTTCTTTTATATTATTTTTTTAAAAAATTATTTTATTGAAATAATTTCTTCTCTTTTATTATTTCTTTCATTTTTAAGCTTTTTAAAATAATTATTTAAAAACAAAATCAATTCATTTCTTTACCAATAAATGATGGTTTCTTTGGTGGTTTATGATCTTTTTGAGGATTAAATTTTCCTTGGGGCACTTCTCTAAAGAATGGTATTTCTGAATTATAATCTGGCCCTTTTATTTTATGAGAATAACTAACTTGAATACCAGCTGCTCTAAGTTCTCTTCTTTTTTGAAGTTCAGTAGCATAAGCTGTGTCTTGTTGTAATTTTTGACGTTCTTTACGTTTAGCCTTCTTTCCTTTAGTATTAGCTAGACGTGCACGAACCTCATTTAGCATTTCAATCTCATCATCATCAAGGTCAACTCTGTCTTTTAAAGCGGGTCTTGTTTCTGGAATGATTTCGTTCATCTCTTTTTCTCTCAGTCCTGAATGATCGTCTCCAGTTGCTTCATCTTTAAGCTGGTTATACTTTTCAATACATTGTGCTGGAGTTCTTCCAACACTTTTAGAAATTGTTTGCCATTGTGAAGGAAATATTTTAATCAAATGAAGTAATTTCTCTTCTTCAGTTGAAGTCCACTCAGTTTTTTTAATCGATGGATCTAGCCAACTATACCACCGAGCTTTACACTGTTGTGGAGATTTACCTACAATCAAACTACTAATTCTTGCCCATTCATTTTTACCATATTTCATTACCCCTGCTTTAAGCACCTCATCTTCAGTATTTCTCCATATTACACCAGCAGCATTTCCAAACGTTGACATTTTTTTGATTATTTCAAGATGAATTTTTTAAGAAAATATCTTATTATAATCTTGTAACCTCCAAGTGACTTTGAAAATTAATTAAAATAAAACAAACTCCTTGTTACATTAACCACCATTTTCTTTTTTTTCATTAATCAATATTTTTTATTGTCATCCATAAATAATAACACACTTTGTATGACAAATTCAATACTAACGTATTAATCGTATTTTATTTTAACATATCCTTTTGATAGACTTTGTTTAAATCAAGTAAAACAAGCTGGTATATTGTTTTTAACAATTAGAACTCCGAATTTATAGAGTAGATCCACCCATATTATATCTATTTTTTATATTACTTTTTAGATAAATGAGTTAATACTTGTCAATACAAGAAGATATATCTTATTCATCCTCACTTCTTTAAAGGTTCAAGAACTCACTTAGGGATAGTATTTGTTCCTCTACGAACAATAGACCAACCTTTATTAAGGATAATGATATACTTTTGATTACTAACCAATTTCTCTTTCTAAAAAAGATTAATAAATCAAAATCAGGTGAATAATAGTTAAATTAAAGTTTAATTTCAAACTGTTTTAATTTATATAAAAGCCCTGTTGTTGTAAGTGTTTTGTAGAAATGGATAGTTTTGTAACAATTAACATAATAGATTATCACGAACATTGTTAAACAACTTTAAAAATTAATATATAAAACAAAAAATAGTTTAATTATTAAACTCTAATACCAACAATTTAAACAAACACATACAAATGACATTAAAGTATACTCTTGATAAAAGTGGGAGGAGAAAATGGAATAAAGAGTTATATGCCAATGAATATTTTGAAGGAAAGTGGAATGGAGAAGAAGATATCTCTCAACTTCCATCAAGAGAAGAGTCATTAAAGTTAGTTAATAAGAAAGGATCAGCTATACTAACAAAGAAACAGGGAGGTCTTTATTGTTCGATTTGTAATAAAATGTTTAGTGATTCTACTAGTTTTACTACACATTTAAATTTACCAGAACATATAGAAAAAGCTGGGATTGAAACAAATTTTAAAACACCAACAGTCGATGATATTAAAACAAAACTACAACTTCTTCAAGAAAAGAGAAGAGAAGAGAAAGAAACTCCTGAAGAAAAAGAGCGTAAACGACTTGAATGGAAAGCTTCAAGAAAAGAAAGAAAACGAGAATGGAAAAAAAGACAACAACAAACAAAAGAAAAAGATCCCGAAAATCAAAATAATAAAAGGTCAAGATCAAATAGCAGAACAAGAACAGAAAAATAAATTTATTTATTGTTATTAATTTTACTTCATAAATATGCAAAAAATATAAACCAAAACTAAAAAGAAGAAATTAACAAGAATATTATGTCTGCACAACAAAATCTTACTGTTAGCCAATTTAAACAACAACTCAAAATTATTATGAAACCTATCAAACAACTCATAGCTAGACTAATTGAGAATCCAATGGACTCAATTTGTATGAAAATAGAAAATAATGTTTATCGTATTGATGGCAGACCAATCTCTATTGAGGGAAATGAACAAATTATAGAGATTGAAGATGGTTGTTTAGTCTCTATTCTTTCCAATGGATTTTGGGATACTGTTGTTCTTCATATTAAGAATGGAGAGATTACAGTTGATACGGCTGATAAGGAAGGGGCACCTACATTGATTTATCCTGATTCAGTTGTGTATTACATTAATGAAGGTATAGTCAATTGTTGTTATGTTATGGCAGTGAATAGAGAGATTACACTATTCCCAACTACTAAATATAATTTGAAAGAGACAATGATTAAAATACAAGATATGGCCATAAACCAATTTACAAAAACACTTGAAGACAAGTTGGAAGAACTGGTTATTAAAATTAAAGTATTAAAAAAAATGATAAATGAGAATAGTGATAACATTATTGAAGATGAAATGAATGATTTAATTTTAACATTTGAAGACGCTATAACTCTTTTACCAAATAGAAAATTTGATAACCAATATTATACACCAGAATATATTGTTGACTTCTTTTTGAAAGGTATTGAGTCAATTCAATATTATGAACGGTGCATATAAATGATTCATTCTCAAGTCATTTGTTATTCTTTTGAAATAGAAGTAGAAATAAATAGTAATTAAATAATAAAAATAAAATTCAATTAAAAAAAAAGTTAAAATAAAATTAAAAAACAATTGAAAAAATAAAAAGATGGAACACGTAGAAGGGTTACTTCAAAAAGGAATTCGTATTGATGCAAGAAAATTAGATGAATTTAGAGAAGTTTCGTTTGTGTGTAGAGAGCCTGGTAGTGTCGAAACACATATCGGTAATAGTAAGGCATTGGGGGAATGTGTTGTAGAGCCAGTATCTCCTGGAAGATCAAGACCTGATCAAGGAATATTTAATATTCGTGTTAATTTTCTTGAAATGGCCAATCCAAATTTCTACGACTCAAGAGGACCACGTGACTTAATCGAGATTGGTAAAGTAGTAGAAAGAGGATTATTATCTACACGTGCAATTGATGTTGATGGTCTTGTTATTATTCGAGGAAAATTAGTATGGAAGATTACTGTGTGTGTTCACATTATTAATGATTGTGGTAACTTGATGGATTTAGTGTCTATTACTGCTATTTCTGCATTACTAACTGCTGTAAGAAGGGAAGTACAAATTTGTGGTACTGATGTAAAGATATTAACACCAGAAGAACGTAAACCTGTTCCATTAGCAATTCACCATATTCCAATAACTGTATCATTTGGAATTACAGATAGTGGAGTACCATTACTTGATCCATCTGAAAGAGAAGAAAGTGTCTGTAAGTCTCGTTTGACAATTGCAATAAATAAAGAAGGTGAAGTTTGTGCAGTACAAAAGAGTGGAACACCAATATCTATGAAAGTTATTCAAAGGTGTTGTGATGTTTGTTTTCTTATTTAAAAAACTATGACAACTAAATATGGAATTAACTGTTCTAGACTGCTTTGTCTAAAGCAAAGATGTTGATTAAATTTATTTCTACTCAAGTTCAACAGTCACGTGAACAATTCAAGAAATAATACTGCTATTGTGATTGATTTGATTTATTTTCTTTTTAAACAAACCTTTTGATTTATTTAAAATAAAAACTTTAATAAATTCTTTTTAAAACATTTAGTATGATTTTACTTATTTCTTTCCAGTTTTCTTGGAATTAACCTTCTTTCCCTTAGAAGCAGCTTTCTTTGATCCAGCTTTATTTTGTTTGAAAACAGCATCAGTATCAGCAAATGAGACAACTTTCATTCCATGTGCTTTAAGAACCTTGTATCTGTTAAGAATAGCAGCATAACGTTTAGCTTCCTTAAGCATAGCAAGTTTATGTAATTTCTTAGCTTCTAATTTTTGAGCCTTATGTTGAAGTCTTCTTGGAGTAACAAGTCTTTGAATCTTTGGTGCTTTAGATCTCTTTGTTGATTTTCCTTCTTTTGGATGTTTTTTAGCAACTTCTCTTCTAATAACGAATTTCTTAACGTCATCCTTTTGTGAAAGATTGAAGAGCTTTCTAATATGAGATGCTCTCTTTGGTCCAGCTCTCATTGGAAGAGCATCATTAGTAACTCCTTCAATTTCTCCTTCTCCTTTCTTGACTACAACAGTGTTTAATACTGAAATATCACCTGCAACAATAGCTCCTCTAACTGTCTTTCTTCTTCTTTCTCCATTTCTAAGTGGTTTGTAACATCCGTTTCTTCCATCAAGAAGAAGTCTGACACGATTGTTGGTAGCTACTCCTGTCATCATTGGGAATCCATCCTTATCACATCCACCTGTAATTTTAAGGATGTATCCTTTGAATTCGTCTCCAAGTGATGAAGCATCAACTTCTTGTCCGATTCTCTTATCAAGGAATGGTCTGTAATTCTTTTCTTCTTCAAAGTCAAATTTCTTAATTCTTCCAGTGGCTGGGTTGGCTACGTTAATCTTCATGTCAGAACACGCAGTTTACTTTTTACAAGTTCCTAGGGTTCACTTTTTTTTTTTCAATCAGTTATTTTTCAAGTCAATAACAAACAATATTTTTATTAGAATATTATTATAAACTATTTATATTTAATAAATATACCAAAAATTAATAAATATTTTAACTAACTGCTAAAGTAACAAACAATCAATTTCAGTTATTTTTTTCGTGACACTCCTCTTTATCATTTGCTTCTTTAATTTCTTTTTGTTGAAGTCCTTCTATTTTTTTAATGAGTTTAATTTCTTTATGTCCTTTACTTTCTCTTTTTAAAGGAGAACACTCTTCCATCAATACAATTACTTCTTTTTCATCAACTGGTCGTTTAATTCCTTCGTATGCTAAATGGGCTAATCCGCTAAATACACTTTCTTTTTTAACTTGTGTAATTACTAGTTCGTGACTAAACATTGCAAGTATTTCGTCAACAGCAGGAGAACATATTTTTGGTAAATCACTTTTGATGTCTTTAATAATCACAAGCATTCCACTACCAATCAGTATTTGTGTTATTTCATTATTATTTAATTTACAAATATCTTTTAATGTACAGATAATATTTGCTTGTGCACAGTCAGTAGTTTCAGATAATATTTTCAGTAGCTTTTCAAATATTTGGGTTTGAATAATATACGGAAGAACATTAGGGGTTGGTAATTTAATAAAATTCAATAAAAACGATGAGAATCGTTCAAGATATTTTCCTAAAGCTTCTTTAGTATATTTGTCTTGAGTATTTAATGGTTCCATCAAAATATTCATGATTAAAGGAATAAATTGTTCACAAAGAAGTGTTTGATATTTTATAATACCATCATAAGCAATAGTACTGTTTTGTAAAAATGAAAAAATACCGTATAAATAAGAGCCTTGATGATGAACTCCACTTTTAACTATTTGTTTAAGTAATCCATTTTCCATTAATAATATAGCAACGTTACTTCCTGAATCAAATAGTATTGTTAATGAATCTAAGTAATATCCTTTATATTCATCATTTAAACCTTTGAATATTGTAGTTAATATTCCAGTTTCAATAATTGATTTAGCACGTTCTTCCCTTGTAGAAAGAGGATATAAAACTAGTGTAGAACAGTATTGTTTAATAGTAATACTAATTCCTCTTCTTGACTCTTTATCGTTATTAGTTTCATATTTCTTACTAAGTTTTTGAAATACTTGATCTTTTATGGACTCTTCTAAAATTTTTCGTTGTGTATTACTTAGTCGAATATTAATGGGTGTTCCAATTGACTCATCTGAAAACCGTGCAACAACAATGTCTCTAAAATAAGTCAATGCAAAAGCGTATTCAACTAAAGTTTTTACAGCAAATGACCGTTCAACAATTTCTTTAATACTAGCTAATTTTTCTTTGAAATCATCAAAGAAGTAAATACGATTTGCTTGTGGTATTTGAGGGTCATATGATAATATCACAAATAATGCTTTTAGTGTTGAAAGTTGGTACATCTCATCTGAAATCTTTTCATCAGGTAATAATAATATTACCTTAACAAAAATGAAGATAGACTCAACTATATCTTTCTTTGTTATATCACTTATAGTTTTAGAAAATTCTATTAACCCATTTACAATCTCTTGTAGTGTTAACTTTTCAAATAAGATTGACGTATTACGTGATGCTAGTGAAGCAATTGCAAGATCTCTTATCTCTTTAATATTTTCTTCTGTAAATGCTAAATAAGTAAGTGGTTAACATGAAATTCTTGTTAAATAAAATTAACTAACAAACAAAGTGGTCCATCGGTTATTGATCTAACACCAATCTCAATAAGGTTATGACATAATTCATTACATAAATTTTTATCAAGAAATGATAATGCATACTCATTAGAAAATGCTTTGCCTTGTATTTGAATTACTTTGTCATTTTGTTTTTCAAATGCATCTCCTTTAATCAATCTTACACATATAATTTTGTCTGGGATGAATTCATTTTTATTAACCTCTTTATTTTCTCCTTCTGTTGATAATTTGTTTTCATTATTTTCAGAAAAAACCTCAATAACTACACTATCATCGTGAATCTCTACATTAAATACACCAATTCCAATTTCAACCCAATCATTTTCATTTAACCGAAAGACTTTAACAAGTTGTTTCTTACTTTGACTATTCTCATTGGCTTTTGTTTCTATACTTTGTTCACCCATATGTCTTTACGATTTTGAGTTTCTTTTTTTTTCTCTTTCTCTAAATAACATTTTTTAATAACATTTCTTTCCTTTTTTGGAAACCTCAATTTCTCAATTATATCGACTTTCCTAAATTACGAGAACCACAAAAGAAACCCTAAAAGAGTAAAGTAGAATAAAGATGATGAAGTTTTGAATAGGACCAGAGAACCCAGTAGAAATGAAATAATAAAACGAAAAATGAGATTCAACTATTAATCCCAATTGTCATTTATGACTGAACTTAACGCTGATCGTAATTTTGTTGGAGTTGATCATGTTAAAAATGTTATTTTAGTTCTTTCGGGAAAAGGAGGTGTTGGAAAGTCAACAATTGCTACAGCACTTGCTCGCTCTTTTGCACTTGTTGGTAAGAAAACAGGTATTTTAGATATCGATTTATGTGGACCATCTGTTCCAAAAATGATGGGACTTGATAATCAAGGAGTTTATCAAGGAGAACATGGAGGAATTCTTCCTGCAAAGTCTCAAATTGGAGATACTTTTATTGATACACTTTCTGTTGGATTTATGTTAAGTTCACCTGATGCTCCAGTTATTTGGAGAGGTCCAAAGAAAGGAGCTGCTATTGAACAATTTTTAAATGATGTTGAATGGGGAGACAAAGATGTTTTAGTTGTTGACACTCCACCAGGAACATCTGATGAACATATCACTATTATGGATTTCTTTAGAAAAAGAAATCAAGAAACTAAAGCTGTTATTGTTACAACACCACAACTTGTTGCTACAAACGATGTTGAAAAAGAGATTGATTTTTGTCATGAATGTCAAATTCCTATCATTGGATTAGTTGAAAATATGAGTGGATATTTATGTCCTCATTGTTCTACTGTTACTAATATATTTTCCAGCAATGGTGGTAAAGAATTAGCTGATAAATACCAACTTAAATTTGTTGGTGCTATTCCTATTGAACCAAAAATTTGTTTAGCGGGTGAGACTGGAGTAAATCCATTTGCTGATGAACCATCAGCAAATGCATTAAAACCAATTACTGATTTTGTAGCCAATCTTGCTAAAACTTTTGCTTAATTTAATTTTTTCTCACCATTATTTTAAAGTCATTTTATAAAGAATGATTATTAAAATAGAAAGTATTACTTTCATTAAAAAATGAAAGTCCTAACACCTTTTAATAGTGTATTAGTTAAATATAATTAAATCAAGAAAAAGAATTTAATGTATTTAAGTAGTAATATAATTATTTCAATTTGTTATAATTTATTTGTAGAGTTCTTTTACAACATAATAAAAGTTAAGAAGAGTTTTTAATTATTTTTTTGATGATATTAATGAAATTATAAATTAATAATAAACCGAAAATAATATCAATCATAAGTATTCATACTTTACATTATAAGGTGATTGAACAATAGAATGAATAATAAACGGATGCTTCTTTTTAAATTGCTCTAACATTTCTCTTACTTCACCTCTCATACTGTCTTTTTCATATTTACAACGTACTAAACGTGGTAATTTAATATATTTTGTCCATTCTTGAATAAAAACTACTGGAACTTCAATAAGTGGTCTAATAAATTTAACACCATATTTTTCTGTTGTGAATTGAGCAGGAATACTTGCAATACAACCACAGAACATTTGATTCATTAACAATGTTTCAGCAACATCATCCATATGATGTCCTAGTGCAATTGAAGTATATCCATGTTCTTTTGCATATTCTAATAATGCTCTTCTTCTATTTTTTCCACAATTTAAGCAAAACGTAGTGTTTTTATCAGCATCTTCAATATCAATTTTACTTACAGGTTCTGATTCAAGAGTGATAAAAGGTATTCCCATAGATTCACAAAGTGCTTTAGAGTCTTCAATATTAAGTTGATACCCAACTTGTTTATTAGTAACATGAACAACTAAAATGTCAAGAGGAAAATGACTGGTTTTTCCAAGTACTGAAAGGATATGGACTAAAAGAAATGAGTCTTTACCACCTGAAAACCCAATAATAATTCTGTCATGAGGAGCAACAATCTTTTCACGTTCATTCATTTTCCAAAATTTGGCATAAATTTTCTTGAACAATTTCTTTTCTCCGACAGGTATTTTGATTGTACTCATTTAAGTATGGAATTTTTTGATTTGTATTCATTTTAAAAAGGGTTATTTAGTATATTGGATTTTGTATGAAACACCTAAAAATAAATATTAAAAGTTGAATGATTATTCAAATGATGGTAATTTCCATGTTGTTATCATATTATAAGGTTTTGGTATTTCTTTTATTGATAGCCCATCATCTGAAAGATCTTCTGATAATTGAGGAATTGGAGAATACCTACAACCAGAAGTTGTAATTAAACAATTATTATAATAAAAAACATCATTAATTGGAGAGTCTATATCTTAAGTTTGTAATAAAAATTAAGAATATAAAAAAACAAACACGCAAGGAAATATGATGATTTAAAGGTAAAAGTATTCAGATCATAAAGATAAACACACCCATTATCATTTCCAGTAAAAAGAGTAGAATGATAAATATTAATCCCTATTCGTTGATTTGTTATTGCAGATCGAGCTAATGTTGCAATAACTGTATTTGTATTTCTAATATCAAATACATATATTTTATCATCTTTACGAGTACCAATAATCAAAAAGTTATCATTAAAAATATGTAAAGAATTAATTTCCTTTTTTAAATGAATTTTTTGGATTATTTGCATTTCCTCACCTCCAAGAAGAACAATATCTCCTTGATAAGTAGAACACACAATGAAGTCACTCCACCCATATTGAACTATTGAACAAACTGTCCCAATTTTGACTCTTTTAGAATATTTTGGTTCAAAATAATCAAAAGAATACTTAAACAAAGAGGAAGAATGAAATGCATAAAACCCTTTATCGCTTTCAGTAAAAATACAGTTTGAGTTTGGTAAAGGGTTGTATGAAGCTAATGGTTTTGATTTTAGTTGACTTAATAACTGAATTGGTTGAGAGTGTTGATGACAGAGAATACCACGAGATGTACTTATCATAGAAGAGACAACTGGTTTTATTCCTTCTATGACAGGTTGTTGTAAAATACCATTAAAATTTATGAAAGAAGAAATGAATGAGTGATTATCTGTGATAGTGATTAAATGATGGTTATGAATGATACTTTTTAGAGGAGGTGCTTGAAGAATTGAAGAAGATAATAATTGAGGAGTATTCATTCTGTAAAATCAAAAAGATAAAAAAGGAGATTAGTTTCTAAAATATAAAATGAAAAAACATTAAGTTAATCTTGGTTCTTACTACAAAACTCTAAAATGCATTTTGATGAGAAAGGAATTAAAGAAAATGAATAAAATATTGTTGTTGCGATTTGAACTATTAAGAAAAATAAAACAACTATAGAATTTTTAAATAAGAATAATCCAAGCATTGTCATTGTTAAACAACAAAGAAACACTATTGCACAAAGTAAGCGAAGTGGTTGTTTAAGAATTTTAAATTGACTTAATGGAGAGTATAAGAAAAATGTTCTAAATAATTAATATAATCTAAGGAATTAAATATGAATATAACAAACGATAAACTAATTAATAATAATCCTAAAATATAACAAATCATAAATAAGTATGGGGCAGCAACAAAGACTAAAATAAATGGGAATGTAATTAACCAAAAGAATATAGCAATTGAAAATATTAAAAAGAATGTAATAATTCTATTTCTTGTTGATAAATGAAACCCAAGTTTATCACATGGATTTTCTATCGTAAAAGAAGAAGTGTCATCAAAATCTGATTGTGGAATAAGTGGATCTTCAAGCATAGAATCTCATTTTTAGTTCATTTTCTTTTCTAGAATTCTTTGAATTATAAAATTATAATATTTTATTACTTAATTAGTTGTAGAACTATAAAATAAATATAATAATATTATTATAATAATAATACAATAAATTAATTCTGTTGATGTTGCATAAAAAATTGAACAAATGAATGATATTGGTCAGTAGGAGAATTAGAAGATGTTGTAACTTGTTTTGATTCTTCTGTGTATTTTGGAGATAAGTTAGGAGAGTAAGAAGGTGAACTAGAAAAACATTGACCATTTGGATTACATTCTGATATTGACTTACATGAAAGAGCCCTCAATGACTCTCTTGACAAAGCACGAAGTCTACGTGGGGATGATGGTTTAGAAAGTGTAAGAACTGGAGTAGAAAATTGAAAATGAGGAGTTAAAGAAGGAGTAATTGGTTGACTTAGTGATTCATTTAATTTTGGTTTGAGATGAGGAGTAGTTGGTAATAAATGTTTATTAACTGAGATACTAATACGAGAAGGATTTTCATAAAGTTTAAAATAATAATTTGGTACATAACAATCTTCATTTGAAATATCAATGTTATGTAATGATATATTATACACAAGTAATGTTGAATGATCTAATTTACCAGGTGAAACAGCACATGACCTTCTTTTTAAAGTAGAATGTAACTCTGCCAATTTATCAGTTAAATTAATAATATGTTCACTTAATTGTTGAACACAATCACTAATACTAACTGAATGTTTAATAATTGGAGAAATTATAGAATTAACATAATTTTCTTTATCACTTGTAACACGACAGATGTCTGGATCAAAATTATCATGAAACCCATCTGTCATCATAAGAAGAATATCATTTTCTTTAACATAACATCCTTTTAATTCCACATGTCTTAATGATGGATTTTTCCCTTCTGCTGGTCCAATAACCCCTCCACAATCATATGTTGCTGTTCCTTTTCTATTATCACCAATTATTGAATCAGTATGTTCTGTTTCGTGTGAATATAAAAATGCTTGACAATCTCCAATTGATATTACAAGTGTATAAGGTTGTTGAGTACGTAGCGTAACCGTAACAGAAATTAATAATGTTGTTGTACCTGTTTCTATTAATGAACTGTCCGAGTTAAGTAAAATTGAAAGGTGAGCAGATGCCATTGAATCTACTAATAAAGTAGCAATCTCACGTGTTGTTCTACATTTTCCAATAGAACTTCTAATTGATTCCCAACACCCAGAAACAGCATTATTTGAAGCCTTTTTTGACCTAAATCCCCACCCACATCCATCAGCAATTATACCAATTGAACAATTAGTAAATTGAATAAATTTTAATGAATCTGCATTAGGTTCTCCTTGTTTTTTCCCTTCTACAATTGGATATAAACTAAACGACGTTAATCCAAATGACTGATCACGAGAAACAATTGTTGCTGGCTTTTTTCGTTCGGCACTGTGAATTGCTAATTGTTTAGTGTCAACCATATCAATAGGAAGTTTCGGGATTTCTCCTAAATCTTTTTTGAAAGCTTTTCTGAATAAAAGATGATAAGAGGTGTCTTTACTCATCTCCTATTCCAAAACGAATCTTTTCTAACAAATCGCAGTTCTTTACTTTTATTTTTTCCATTTATTTTGTTTTATTTTTTAGCTTACCTTTAGTTTTCTTCGAGTTATTTGGATTTCTATTATTAAATCATTCTTTAAGTATTTTTATATTATCCTTCCCTTTTTTTCTTTTTGTAAAATGAACACAAAAACGAAAAGTGATCATCTTGTCTTTGTTTAGGCAGATTTGATGAGTGTTTATCTATATAAGTAAGCCCCAAAGATTTTGGTTTATGTTTTCTTTATTAATTGTTCAATGTTATATTACTCTGAGTTTTGCTCAAAACAACAACAAAGATGTATTTATAGATCACCTTCAACGGCGATATGTTAAATCATTCTATGGTGAAAAGTTTAACGTTGAAGAATCATATCCATTAAGAGTCAACATAGAAGAATATGCCAACCTAAACCAGAACGTTGCCTTAGGATTTGAGAAAGAAAAAACAAAAAGTTATCCTGAGCGATTATGGTTAGCTATTATTCATACTATGCCAAATAAAATAAGTCATATTCAAAACACAAGAAATACTTGGTGTAGAGAAGAATACCAACAACGGTATGGATTTAAATGTATTTATGTTCTTGTTGAGTCATCAGTTCGTCAAACAAAACATTTGAATGATTTATTAAAATTAAATGAGACATACCATGACATTTATTTCATTGATATGCCTGATTTAAATGAACATTGGTTTACTTTACAACAAAAAAATATTAATGCTTACATTATGGCATTAAACATATTTCCTGATTATTCTTTTTATTCCAGAGTTGATGATCAAATACTTGTTACTGTTGATATACTATCTTCATTTTTAATGAATCACCTCACAAACTCCACTGTTGTTGGTGAAATGGTTAAACATCGCCCTAATAGGAACCCAAGAAATAAATATTATGACCCATTAGCAATTAACATTCCAAAATACTTTCCATTTCCTGCAGGTTACTTATCTATTTTTAGTCAGGACATTATTAAATTTATTGGGAAATGGGAAAATTATTACACCTTTGCCCCAAGTTCATTAGAAGATCCTGGGTTTGGTCACTGGATTTATAAATTTGCAAATACTACAAATCAACGAGTTGATTTATTAACACCAGAAAATTGGGGTGGAAACACAAAAAACACATACGGTGATTATATTATATTTCATGACCAAAGGGGTAGATTAAATCAAACTGAGTTCCTTAAAAGAAGAATAGAAGATGGATATATGAAAGAGTTTTAATTCAATTATTCAATAGACTTCAAGAAGTTCCAAATAGAATCTATATCATTTTCTTTTACTGAAGATTGAGCAAACACAATTTGATTCTTGAGTTGTTCAAAATGAAATTCATCATCAGGGTCTCCATACATATATAAATCATCATCAGCTATTACTTCTCCTGGTTTAGCAACTCGAATACGTAATTTGTTTAATTCTTTTTCTAATAAAATTTTAATAATATCTTTTGATTCAGACATTGGAATATCACTCTTATTACAAAGAATTAATATTGGTAAATTATTTGTATTTGAGGTGATAATACAATGAAGATACCCTGCGTCGTCTTTAATTGTTTTCTTAATTTCATCTCCAGCAATCATAAAAATAATACATTTAGCTGATTCAATATATTTTTTATATATTCCTCTAACTTTACCATAACCAGGAATGTCTACTATTTCAATTGGTTGTTGAGTTATAATGTCATGACAAATACCAATATTTTCAACCATAGAAGTACACGTTTCTGTAGTTGTATTATTTTGTAACTATATTTTATTAGTTCATTTTATTATATCTTATGATAATAAATAAAAAAAGAATACAAACACAAAGATATAATGATGTTTTTCCAACACCACTAGTCCCAGTAATCATTACAACAGATTTTTTATTATTACTTTTAAACTTCTTTGATACTACCATTAAGTAAATACATTTTATTTTAAGAAATGTAATTTTAAACAAACTGATGTAAACAATAATGCCAATAAACAATGCAATTATTGTTGTAATTGTGGTAATTAATGAAACTAATGAAAAACTACTTTCAACAGTATTTTCCATTTTTAATTATTATTTTTTAGTTCATCTCATATTTTAGTTGATAAACAAAGTTTGATTATGCTTTTCAAAGGTTTTTCATTTTATTCTGATGCACACCATAGCAGAATAACTTTTATTGACTTTTCTATTCTAAATTTATTGTAACATGAAAAGACAAGGGTATATAATAAAAAGTATTGAATAAAAGGATATTATATGAGTAGGTTATTTACTAAAACAAAGAAGAAACCTTTATTTTTTAACAAACAACCACAAATTGAATATAATAAACAAGAAAATGATATTGAAAAAATCAAATTACATGATTCAAACAATGGTTTTAATCCACTCAGTATAATAAAAGAAGAGGGGTTTGATAATAGTGACACAATGAAGTGGTTTGACAAAATGACAACTGACAGTGGAGAAGTGTTATTAAAAAATGAAAGTACCAGTATTAAAAGTTTCAACAGTATGACTTCATTTCAATTTTCACCAGAAGAAGATGAAATAGTCTCAAATAAGATGGATGAAACTATCCAACCAAAGGTGTTTACAGAAGCAAGAAATGAAAGAGTTATTTTAGAACAAACACAAGAATCAGAGAAAGATGAGAACCAAGTAATTGAGGCAAAAGAAATAAAGTGTGTTGAGAATCCAATCAAACAAGAAACAGACAAAGAAATAAATAAACCCAAAAAACAATCTCAAGTTAAACCAAAAGAAAATAAGAGATCAAATTTCCATATTTCAATGAAAAGATTTGAATTTAAAAAACCTAATTTAATTTCAAAACCACTGAAAGATCGAATGAAAGATTCAACTAAACAAATCAGTGAAAAATCTATTCATAAATCTTCAGATAACTACAACTTTCAACTAAAAGTAGATCTAAAAGAAAAAGTACCAAACAGAAATCAAAGTACTAAGAATGTAGAACTAGAAAAAGAGCTAAGAAAAGAGTCAGAAGAAGGTTTTAAAAAAGTATCTAATATTAAGAAGATTATGAATTCTCCAGATAACACAGAACCTATAAGAAATTCTAACAATAATGAAATTAATATAAACCAAAAAGAAGTTGAAGAACAAGTAGTTATTCAACAAGAAGAGAAAAAAGAGATGTATTCATTGAAACGTAAAATAGAAATAAATGAAGAAAATGAAAATATTCCACCACTAAAACGTCCAGTTATTAACAAAGAAAATAAAAATAATCTTTCTAAATTTGAAATACCAACAATTAAACTCCCAGTTATGTTTAGTTTATCAGAAAGTAGATTAGAATGCTTAAAAAAGATTTCTACTATTATTCAAATGTTAAATTATGCACCTATAAACAAAGAACTACAAACATCTAAAGTAATTTTTCTTCCAGAAATACATTCTATTCCAAAACCAACAACAGAAGAAGAAATGAAAGCATCTCTTTTATTCTGTAAACAGAAGATAGAAAAATTAGGTAACGAAGTTGAATGTCTCTTACCTATTACATGTTGTGTAGCAGAAAAAATACTAGAACAATTAAAAAAAATACATGAATCACGAAAAAATAAGTTAGCTATTGTTTGTTTTCATAATTTAGAATAATACAAATAATAAAATTCATCCAATAGATAAAAAAACAAGAAGAAGAAATGAAAACACTTCAAGAAACACTTCATGCAAATAGAACAATAAAATAATTTTTATAACTTAAATTTCTACAACAAAAACAAATTTCTCAAATTTTATCATAAACAAAAATAAGAAAAAAAAAAAAAAGAATAAAAAAAGAAAAGAACTACCTAATTAAAAAAATAAATAAATAAATGACCCAAACTGGACTTTACCTCTTAACAACATTACCAAGTAGAACACAAACAGCAGATGGATTTGACTTTGAAAGAATTCAATCTAAATCAGAAGGACTTGCTGAATGTTATAAAAGTATGATTCCAACACAATTAAAATTTGAATCACTTGATTCATTAATGACACTATCTGATGAGCTTGTAAGAATAGACAGTTCAGTTGGAACTGTTGTAAAAAGATTATGTAATATATGGGTTGACGTAAACAAGGAAATTCAATTTAATGATAAATGGAATGAAACTGATTTAACACAATTTAGATGGGATGAAAAAAAATACCCATTTACAGAAACAGCAAAAGTATTAACAAATAGAATATATAAAGATATTCAACAAATTGAAATTCGTTTAAGAGATTTAGTTTCTAAATACCAAACTACTTCTAGAGAACTTGCTATTGAAAATAAAAAAGAAACAGGAACATTATTAACTAGAAGATTAGACTCATGTGTACCAAATGATGTTATTATAGATACAGAATATCTTATGACAATATTTGTTGTAATTTCAAAACAACAACATAAAGAATTTCTTAAAAATTATGATACATTAAATGAATTTGTTGTATGTGATTCAGCAATACAAATAATAGTTGATAATGATTTTGAATTATATCGGGTTGTTATTTTCAAACATGCATTAGATGATTTTAAGAATGAATGTCGTACATACCATTATTCAGTAAGAGAATTTAAACGAGAAATTGGTAATATAGAATCAACTAAATCATCATTAAAAGAATCACTTGAAAGTCAAAAAACTACTTTAATACGTTATTGTGAAGCAAATTTTGTTCATGTTCTTCATGCATGGTTCCATATAAAAATTCTTCGATTATTTACTGATTCAGTTTTACATTATGGATTACCAACTAAATATGATTTAATTGTTATGAGACTTAAAAAAAGAGAAAACAAAAAATTAATGAAAAATCTTGTTGGTAAACGTCCTACTATTGGTACTGAAGTTAATTATTTACCAACTCGTGAAGATCTTGGATATGATCCAGAGGGATCAGATAGTACATTCCCATTTGTCTTTACATCAGTTGATATTGGATATTTAGTTAATCCATTATTACTAGTTTCAAGATAAAGCATGAAATAGAACAAGAAAGAATAATAAATACTTCTTCTTTTTTTATTGTTTTTTTTTTTGAATAAAAAGAACTAAAAAATAGAAAATTAAATAACAATAATGATTCTTCACCGAAATTTCAATATTATTATTATTTTAAGTATTATCTTTTCATTTAGTTATGGCTTTGAACAAAATTATGAAGTTGTTCATCAAAAAAGGGTATTAACAGAAGGACAAAAAATAGCATTAAGAAATAGACAATTTGTAATTAATTATTATAAAAATTTAGCAAAAGAACAAATGAAGAAAAGAAAAATTATTAAATATGATTCACCGTCATATGATGATATTGCTGATAAACAAAGAAATGAATTAAGTAATATTTATAATGAAATTCTTCAAAAGAAATTAAGAGAAAAAGCAAGAATAGAAGTTATGAAAGAAATAAAAGCAAAAGAAACAAAAACAGAACAAGAATTATTTGAGAAGTTTAAAGAAGAAGAACGTCAAAAAATTCTCAAAAATAAACAAAAAAGACTTCAAATAGAACTTATGAAAAGAAAAGAAGAAGAAAAAAAATTAAGAATTAAAAAAGAACGTCAAAGAAAGGAACAAGAATTACAACGTTTAGAACAAGAAAGAAATTTAATGTTTAAAAATCAACTTAGAAGAATGTTACTAAAAAGAAAGAAAGATTATGATAAATACTCTCGTGAAGCAGAAAAAAGAAAAGAAATAGAAAAAAATCAAAGAATCAAAGCTGCTCATGAAAGAAAAGAATTTGAAAGAAAACGTTTTGCAGAAATGCAAAAAATTCAATTAGAATCTCAAAACCAAGAAGATTCAAAAAAAAATAGAAATGAATTACAAAAAGAATTATCTAAATTTAAAGATATGCTAAAGGGACGTATTTAGTTTTTATTCTCATTCATTCAAATAATATTGTGTTTAATAAAAGGATCTCTTTATTTATTATTAATTAATTTTGATGTTTTATTATTTTAAGTTTTATTTATTTATTTAGTAGATTTACTATTTATAGAATAGGGTTAGGGTTTAAAAGAAATTACCCTTAAATAAAGAAAAATATTTTAGGAATTAGAGAAAGAAAATAGAGAAAAAATGAAGTAAGAAAAAGAAAAGAATAAATTCATATTCATAAATAATTTTAAACAAGAAAAGAAAGAACTGTTATTGAAGTAATGACTAACATTAAAGGATTTGACTCAACCCTTTTAGAGAAAGTCCAAGAAATACATCCTAATGAAAAGTTTACATTACCATATTATATTAATGAAGAATATCCAAAATATACATTCCTTGTTATTGATTCTCCAAAAAAACAAAATATTCCAATTGCAGTATTTGTTGTTCCACAAGGAAGTGAAAATGAATATCATTATGCTACAGATGAAGGTAATAAAGATCTTTGTCAAGCTATTAATGCAGAAAGAGTTCTTCTTGTTTTTATTGATCCACATTATACAGTTGAAAATTTAGAATCAATTATTAAAGAACTTGGTATTATTTCAAAAAAGTTAATTCCAATAGGAATGAAATCTAATGATGCACCAATTCTTACTGCAGAAGAAGGAGTTGGAAATAGAAAATTATTATTTGAAAAGAAATCAGATTATAATGGAAATGTTTTAGTTGAAGAAACAAGTAATGATGATGGAAGTTCTATAAGAAGAATGAAATTTGAAGGATTTAGAACAGTTGTTCAATCAGAAGCTGTTGTTGTTAATGGAAAATTAAATGTTGAAAAATCAATTTTACAATCATCATATCTTGATGCTATACGTATTGGAATGTGTTTCTTTTGGCATTCTAAAGTAGATCTTCCATTTAGAATAGTTATTATTGGAGCAGGAGGATGTACATTAACACTTGGTATTAAAACATTACTTCCAGAATCACGTATTGTTAGTGTTGATGTAGATCCAGTAGTTGTTGAAGCAGCATCTAAATATTTTTTTGCAACACATGAAGAAACAACAGCAGTAATTACTATGAATGGAATTGAATATCTTACTAATTTAGCACATAAAAGTGAAATGTCTATGCTTCAAAATGCAGTTCATGCAATTATTATTGATGTAGATAATAAAACAACATCAGATAAAGAATTAATTGGTCCACCATTACCATTTGTACAACAAAACTGTATTGTTAATATGGTTAAATCATTATTTACAGCAAATATGAATTCTATTACACCACCAATGATAATTTATAATATTGTAGCTCGTGATTCTCAATTAAGAAAATCTACAATTCTTGATTTAGCTAAGTATTTTAAACAAGTTTATGTTTGGCAAGGAGGTGATGATATTAATACAGTTGTTTTTGCATTCCCACACCAAATTCAACAATATAACATTAAAGAAGATTCACCAGAAAATAAAGAATTTAAAGAATTCTTATCACATTTACAACAAGTAAGATGAATAAATGATATTATTAAATAAAAACAAATTACTTTTTTTATTTTTAAACAAAGAATATTTTAGTATTTTGATAGTTTATAAAAAGAAATGAACTTAAAAGTTTTAATTCTTTTTAATGAATATTACTTCTTCTCTTTGTGATAAATTAGAAAAAGAATGGAGAACAATTCATAAAAATAATATAAATAAAGAATATATCAAACATGAAATTGAAAAAGAATTGGATTCAAGATCTATTCATGTTAGTAATGTTGAATATTCAACTACAAAAGATGATTTAGAAGATTTATTTGAAAAATGTGGTATTATATTAAATGTTAATATTCCTATTAATTATTTCACTCAAACACCAATGGGATATGCTAATATTGAATTTAAAAATTCTAATGCTATTGAAAAAGCATTAAAATTATCAGGAACTTATTTAAATGGAAGATATATTGAAGTTTCTAAAAAAATAACATTTGATAAAAGGAGAAATGATAGAACAAGTTTTAGTTGGTTGTTTAAGAATTTAGATTAAATTTATAAGAGAAGTTATTATTCTTCATTCGGTTAGTGAATGATTTGAGAATGGAGATAATAATCATAAAATAATAAAAGATTTTAACAAATGTAGAAAAAAAAAAAAAAAAAAACAGAAAAGTAATAACCACGTTGAGAAGACTCATCATAAAATTTGACATAATTAATAGTAAATTCAATAATAAAGAAATTATTATAGAGAGAAAAATAAAAAGGGGTTTATTATTAAACTCAACATTAGTTTTTAGTTTAATTATACATGGGACTTGATATTAATTTATTTAGAAATCAACCAGATGTTATTAGAGAGTCACAAAAAAAGAGAGGAGCACCAGTAGAAATTGTTGATGAAATTCTTTCACTTGATAATGAATGGAAAAAAGAAGGATTTACTCTTGACCAAACTAGAAAGGAGCTTGGAAAGATTCAAAAAGAATTAGGTATGCTTCATAAAAATAAAGAAAATCCACCAACAAAAGAAATTCTTGCAGAATATGATATCAAAAAGAAAGCATGTGAAACTAAAATTACAGAATTAGAGAAATCAGTTGTTGAACTTAAAGTTAAAATTAATGATAAAATTAAATCAGTTGGAAATATTGTTCCAGATTCAGTTCCAGTTGAAATGGATGAAAAATTTAATAAAGTAGAAGTTACTTATGGAGAATGTACTCCAAAAGTATATCATCATCATGAACTTATTCATATGATTGGTGGAGCTGATACTGAAAGAGCTGTTAAAGTTGCAGGACATAGAGGTTATTATCTTAAAGGATGGGGATTTAAATTAAATCAAGCCCTTATTAATTATAGTACTAATTTCTTAGAACAAAGAGGATTTACTCCAATTCAAACACCTTATTTCATGAGAAGAGAATTAATGGCTAAAACTGCACAATTATCAGATTTCGATGAAACATTATACCATGTTGGAACTGGTAAAGATGTTGAATTAGATGATCAAAAGTATTTAATTGCTACTTCAGAACAACCATTAACTGCACTCCATGCTGGAGAATGGATTCTTCCAAAACAATTACCAATTAAATATATGGGATTCTCTACTAACTTTAGAAAAGAGGCTGGAGCTCATGGAAAAGATACTTGGGGTATCTTTAGAGTTCATCAATTTGAAAAGATTGAACAATTTTGTATGACACTTCCTGATAAATCTTGGGAAATGCATGAAGAGATGATTAAAAATGCACGTGATTTCTTTGAATCACTCAAGATTCCTTACAGAGTCGTTAATATCGTTTCAGGAGCTCTTAATAATGCCGCTGCTAAGAAATATGATCTTGAAGGATATTTCCCAGGATTTAATGAATATAGAGAACTTGTCTCATGCAGTAATTGTACTGACTATCAAAGCAGAGAACTTGAAGTAAGACTACAAACTGACAAGAAGGACAAAACCAAAAGCTATGTCCACATGCTTAATTCTACTTTATGTGCTACTGAAAGAGCTCTTTGTTGTATCTTAGAAAATTATCAATGCGAAGATGGTATTATTGTTCCAGAAGTCCTTAGACCTTATGTTGGCGGTGTTGAAAAGATCCCATTTATTGCTCCAAAACCAGTTTGGGCTAAAGAAGAAAAGAAATCAACTAAAAAGAACTAAATAAAAATTCTCCTTTTTTTACTTTATTGGTTTTATGTAACATAACGATTAGGAGAAGATAAGACATAGAAAAAGAAGAATGAGGGGAAAGAATTAAAGGAAAGGTAAAGAGATAAATCAAGAATATAAAGAGAAAAGAGAAGAACAGAAAGTTGAAAAAGAGAAAAAAAAGATAAATAATGAGATAGCACCACGTCAATAAAAGAAAAAGAAAAAAAGAGAACTAAGAAACATAGATCAATACATTTCTTACGTGGTTGTATTTTAGAAATATAAGCTCCGTTGAAATGTTAGAAAAAGAAGGGAATCTACACAAATATGTTTAGACATATTTGTTTGTCAACCCGTTATATTTTTTAGAAAAAGAATAAAAATACATAAAAAGTAACTCATAAATATAGAAAGAAAAGAATGATAAATATTTCCACTTTACTTTTATTTTTTACTTTTGTTAAAAGGATTTATAGTTTGTGATAATCAGTTTTTTTATAATTACAAAATAATGAGTATCATAAAAATTCAATTCAATCAATATGCTTGGAACACAGGGAAACCAATAGATCCCCCTTTGACTTTTACTTGGATTTGAGTGATATTATCAGAACCTTCATAAATACATTCTGATGCTTGTTTTGTAAGAGCAATAAAATTATCAGCAAGATCATCATCACTTTGAGAAAGAACCCCAAATGGAAGTGAAAGATCACATAAACGAAGAGGAGTAAATGGAATGCTTTTAGTTGCTTTTTCTACTTGTTCTTTAATAGAATGCTCTCCACAGAACACTGGAATAAAAATATTATTTGAACGGATTCTACCATTGAATAATACTGAAAGAAGATGACAAACTCTAATTTCTACTAAGAAAACATCATACCTCTTCATTAACTCATCTTGTGCTTCAAATGTACTATATCTTTCTCTAATTTGTTTAGTAGAAATTATTTTATCAATATGAACACCTGTTTTAGCAACTTTTTCTTTCATATAACTTTTAGGATTAGCACAAATTAAGCATACAGTACGTTCATTATAAAATGGATGTGGAACAGTTCTAATTCATGTTAATTTTAATTTAAAACATTTAACAAAAAGATAAAAAAAACAAACAAAAGATCTATATGAGGATTATATCTAGGTTCTTTTAAGATATCAAATGTAATTTGAAGTTGTTTGTCAGTGTTGAATAATGAAGTGATACTAGAATTTTTTGTTTCATAATCATTATATTGTTTAATAGCTCTAATTGTTTTAAGAATGTGTGCCCTTTCGATTGGCTTATATTTTTTTAATACAATATCACTAACAACCTGTTGATTGTTTTCAGTGAGTGTTTTCTTTGGTTTAGTTGCTTCAGTTTTTTTAGATTTTTCATTCACGTTATTATTTTTTGTGTCTTCGATTGGTTTAATAACACAAGTTACTCGTTTCAGTCGAAGTAAAGCAGGAGTCATCGAGAGTATTGTAATGATAATGAAGATGAGACCAAAAAACTAAAGAAAGAACAAGGGTTTGAAATAGAAGAAATGAATAGTTTTATCATATAGTAAAAAGAAGTATAAGATATTATTTATTTGAATGTTCTAAAAAATAAGTTTTGAAGTATGTGTTTTCAACTGATAAAACTACTCGAAAGAAAGTGTTTATGACTGAAACTCTTGCACCTACAGTTCAAGGACAAGAAATTATGGAAAAGTTAAATAAACAAACATATGAATGTGTTATTTGTATGGCTCCTATTAGAAGATATCATAAAATTTGGTCATGTCCACGTTGTTTTACTGCAGTTCATTCAACTTGTGTTGTAGGATGGGCTGCAAATAAACCTACATGGTGTTGTCCAGTTTGTAGACTTGAAATTGATAAACCACCAAAACCATCATGTTTTTGTGGGAAACACATTGAAGGAAGTAAATATGAATCAGCACATTGTTGTGGGGAGATATGTGGAAAATATAGAGTAGGAACTAATTGTCCACATCCATGTACAAGAAAATGTCATGCAGGACCATGTGGACCATGTACTGCAGGAGGTAAAACTGTTAAATGTTTTTGTGGAAGAAATATAGTTCATTTAGGATGTGGACAAGATGAAAGTTCAAGGTCATGTGGTAAAATGTGTATGAAAGAATTACCTTGTAGACATGCATGTATTGCCATTTGTCATGATGGACCATGTCCTAAATGTAGTGTACAAGTAGAAAAATCATGTTATTGTGGTAAAGAGAAATCAAAATTTAGTTGTGGAGATTGTGTACAAGATCCTATTACTAAAGGATTCTATTCATGTAAAAATATTTGTGATAAAGTTCTTGGATGTGGAAAACATCATTGTACAAAAGTATGTCATTCAGGACCATGTGAAGAATGTCCTACACCTATTAGTATTAAAAGTTGTGCATGTGGTAAAACACATTATAATAGAAAAGAATGTACTGATCCATTTGAAGAATGTCCAGAAATTTGTGGGAAGAAATTACCTTGTGGACATATTTGTCATAGTAAATGTCATTTTGGACCATGTAAATGTACAGAAAAGATTCAAAAAAGATGTAGATGTGGAAAAGAAATAATTGATGTACTGTGTGGTTATGAAGGAGAAGTTACATGTGAAAATGTTTGTAATGATTTATTAAATTGTAAAGTTCATAGATGTGATAAGAAATGTTGTTTAGCTCATGGTAAAATAAATTCTGATTTACATCAATGTTTCAATTATTGTGGAAAAGAATTACCATGTGGTCATAAATGTATGCAAATTTGTCATGGAAATAAGAAATGTCCACCATGTTCTCATATGATGTTAACTCCATTAACTTGTCGTTGTGGTAAAACAAAAATTATGCCACCAGTTCCATGTGGAACACAACCACCACAATGTAATTATTCATGTACTATTATTCCAGCATGTGGACATCCACCAGTACCACATAATTGTCATTTTGGACCATGTCCAAAATGTACTACATTAACAGAAAAGACTTGTTATTGTAGTAAAAATAAAGTAAAAATACCTTGTTATATTGAAAGTGCTTCATGTGGTCAAATTTGTGGTAAAGCTATGCCATGCGGTGTTCATGTTTGTAAGAGAGTTTGTCATGATGGTCCATGTACTGAAAATGGTCAATGTCCATATGAGTGTGGAAAGAAAAAACCTTATTGTACTCATTATTGTAACAGTAAGTGTCATGGAGATACTCCATGTCCAACAACACCATGTGACCAATTAGTTGAAGTGAAGTGTGGTTGTGGATTTAGAAAAGTTCAAGTGGTTTGTGGAGCAACACCAGAACATCCATGGCAACACAGAACGATTGACTGTAATCTGGATTGCTTAAAAGAACATGTCAGAAAGGAGAAAGTTGGAGTGGATAAAAAAAGAGTTGATTATCCATTATGGTTTTTATGTTTATACGATGCTGCAGGAAGAGCAAGTAAAGCATTAGAAACTACAATTATTGAATTTATTAATGATGTTGATAAGAAGTCTATGATGATGCAACCAATGAATTATTTAATCAATTTAGTATTTACTTATTTGTGTGGGTACTATCAAATAAATATTGTCCCGATGGTGGTTAAAAAATCACAACGCTTAATGATGGAGAAACAAGCACTAAGACCAGTGCTCTGTGTTCCAACAGTATACGATACGTTACCATTATACAGAACATTATTCCATCCAAAGGATAATGAATTTGTTGTAAATGTAATTGTATATGATACTGATTTTGGTGAACAAACAATGATTATTCATTTGACTCAAATTAGTGAACATGCACAAGAACCTATTGAACGATTCCTTAGTAAGATTAAATATAATTGTAGACAAGAACCAGTAAATAAGAGTAATATTATCTTATTCTTTGAAGATATTGAATCGTTAGAATATGCAGTAAATAATTTTAAGAAAATGAAGGGATTTGTTGTAAGAGAAGATTTATTAATTCCTGAAGAAAAAGAGGAGACTTTACTACAAAATGAAGACAAATCATTTACTGATATTGCTTTAAGAATAATTTCAGGAATGTTAAATGAAAAATTTAATAATAGAGATATTGTTGGAAAAATTATGATGGACATGCCAGCTTATTCAAGGGCTGCTTTATCTAATTATTCTACAACATGGAAATGTTTAAAAGAACAAAAAGAGCCAATACTTAATCTTGAAATGAATACTCCACAGAATTTCATATTAAAAGAAATGTATATTGACTTTAATGTTAATAGAACTCAAATAAATCAGATTGTAGGATATCATGAACAAATTCTTACTTTTGATATGAACCTTTATATAGGTGCAAGTGAAGATAAAAGAGTTCAAGTTCAATGGAATAAAGATATTGGAGAAGGAGGTAAATACTTCCACTTCTTTAAAACTATTTCTAATGAAAAACAAGTTTCTTTGTTAAGAAGAAAGAAATTATTTGTTTGGATTGAGTACAAAAATAAAGATGTTATTGGCCATAGAGCTAATGTTAACTTGTATTTCGAAGCAAGGTTCCTTCCATTAATTAGTCAAAAGAAAAATAAGCAAACTAAAAAATGAATTGAATAAATGGGTATTTTTATGTTATTTAAAATAAAAACTATAAAACAACTAAAGAAAAAAAATTACAGAATAAATGAAGTTAAAATGATGATTCATAAAAATATAGTCAGACATCCTAACATCACCTCTTAAATCTTTCTTCTGAAATTTCTTTCATTAGATTAATTCAAGTTGTTCATTGTACACTTGTTTCCAAATGTTTGTCTCCCGTTGGTGTTGTTGGTTATTCAATCTTCATCCTATTGTCTTGTTGTTAATTTTAAGACGGATAATGGATTGACTGTACTATAGAAATGATCCTAAGAGTACGGTCTACTTTTTAATTTTCTTTTTGCTTTTCTTTATTTTTCAGTTATTCATTTATTAATTATGGTTTATTTTTAGGGTTTTTACTATGCTTTTAAATTATTTTTATTATTATTATTATTTTCATATTATTCTCTTCCTTATCACAATGTTCCTCTTTATCAATTCCTTATGAATCATATTTGCTTATGATGCTATTGCAGTTTATATATTTAATTTATGAATAAATGTAATCAGGATAAAATATTTTGCACAATAAATAATTTTGATTATCATTTTGGGTGTTAGTTCAAAAAAAAGAAAAATCAAAGTTCACAATGACTATAATTAATGATGAATAGTTATGAAACAGTTTAATATCAATAAGAGATATCACCTTAAAATATTAATTAAAATATACAGAACATAAAAAAGAAGAAATGGTGATGATTTACAAAAAGAATTGAAAGTAATAAAATTAAATTGAAAACACATAATTTATGTAATAAAATAAGAAATCATGATAATCACTTAAAACATAAAGAAGTAATGAATAAAATATAAATAGATAAAAGAAATAAATACTTGGAGGCAATGAGAGAAAAATATCATATCAGAAAATTGAAGAATAACAAAAAAATCACAAGAATTTTAATAATATTATAGAATATGAGGAGAATAAGGAAAAGTAAATTCAAAAGAATTGAAAAATCTAGTAACTAATAAAAATAAACTTTAAACAATGATACAAGAGAATAGATTTATTGCACTTAAAAATTATTAGATATATGTAAAATAATAATAAAATGAAATGTATGTATTGGAACCAATTTACAACATAAATACATTTACTTAGGTCTGTGATAAAATAAAGAAATAATAAAAATACATGATTGAATGATAGAATAATATATAAAAATAACATAATAAATTAGATAATAAATATGATTATAATGATAAATTAAATAAGTTAATGAAAATGGTTTAGAAACGTTAAATTCTGAAAATTAGATGATAACATATCAATGAAAAGAATATAAAATAGATAATATGTAATATTATAATAAAGAAATAATAATAAAGAAATAATAATAAAGAAATAATAATAATAATAATAATAATAATAATAATAATAATAATAATAATAATAATAATAATAATAATAATAATAATAATAGAAATATCAGTTGTAACGAATATAAATAAATTAAAATTATTTTGTAGTAGTTTATGTTCATTTTAGTTGAATATTAAATATAATTTATTCAAACTATACAAAATTTCATTTGATGTAAAAAGAAGATTGTAATTGTAAGAAGTAATTTTAATTATTTGAAAGTTATCTCTGAAATAAAAATAAATTAAGGTATTAAAAAAAACAAACATATCTTATTATCTGTTATAGTAAATATAGGTATCCAAAAAGGATACTGTTCTTTTTATTTATTTTTAATACAAAAATGAATAAACAAAACTCAAGATTAAATAAACAAATATTTTTTATTTGTTATATTTTTCATTATTTAATTAGTCAATAGTAATAAACTGTTATAAGCCTCAACAAGAGTTTAAATTTATTAATGGTTATTTTTCTTGTTTCATCGTATTAATTGTGATTGAATACAATATACAAACTCTGTGTTAAATAAAGTGTTTAATTTAATGAATCAGAAATAGTAATATTAAAAAGAGTGATATTTTAACATGACATGATTAAATAGTATTATAAAAATGGTTGAAAATAAAGTGCAAAAACAATGAGGTATGTAAAAGAAGAATGAGATTAATATCACAAGTATTTTATTATTAAATATCATATAGAGTAATAAATAAGATTTAATGTTATAATGTCTTTGAGCAATTAGAACATGTAAAATTATTGTACTATTAAAATAATAGGAAAAATAAAAGTTTATTGAATTAAATACCTCTGTACAAACAAAATATTCCATAAGATAACTGAATTCAAATGTATGAAATTATCAAAGATTTCAAATAATCAATTCCAATAATAAATTATTATACAAATCAAACACAACCATAGCAAACAGTATTTAATAAATCTAACAAAGAAGAATAAAAGTGCCTGTAAATAGAAAATTCTCATAACAACCTATAATATAAACAAATGTTTCCAAAGTGTTGTGGTGATTAATTATTTTATCTCTTCTTTCTGTAGGTTCTAATCTAAACAAATAACAAAAAATTAACATTAAGTAAAATAAAGAAATTAAAATAAGTTAAGATGCTTGAAAAAGTTATAAATAAAAATGTTGAAATAAGTAATAATAAAGAAGAAAGGGAGAAAAATGACAAAAAATACGTAGAATTGAAAAATCTATTTTAATACAAAAATTTGAAAAATTTATTTTTAAATCAATAAATCCATTTGATGACCTTTGATAAATATACAATTGGAGTATACTTTAACTCCATCAATAAAGTGTAATTCAATAAAAAAATGAATATTTAAACAATATAAATTATAAAAGATTAAAGTTGATAATATACTATACTATTTTTTTTTGAATAAAAATCCTATTTATATATTTTATCATAAAACTATTTCTACAACTATAAAAATAAGAATAAACTAACCAAACATCTCCTAAAACTATTTGTTATCAAAGTTATTCTTTATTCAATTGAGAAGGTACCTTACTCTATCTAATATATAAATTGGTTCTTTTAAAAAAAAAGTTTGTTGAAACTACTATTAGAGAAGTTATTTTGTATTTAAAATGTCTAAAGTTATAAAAACTGTTTAAATTCTAAGTTTAGTGTAACTTTTTTTAGGTATTAAATATTTTACTTAAATTTAACTTTATAAATACAAAGAAATTATAATAATAATAAAAATATAGTAAAGAAATAATATTAACTTAATTTCGAACAAAAGTCAATAAACTACTTCTATAATTCTATTAATAAAATATGCTAAATTAGGAGTTTTTTTTATTCATTAAAAGTAATAATATCATTTTAAATAATCTCAACTTGAAATTATCATATGACCATGCTCATCACTCTATACTTTTTATTGTCATTTGTCAACGCTAGATTATTTCAATTAAACGAATTTGGATCAATGGAAAAAATTACTTCAGATCAATCTTCTTATTATCTTGCACAAAACCTAACCAATATATGGGCTTTTTCTAGTGAACATAAATATGACTTTGTTGATTCTCGTACAACTAAATTTTTAATTACTTCTGTTAATAAAGGGTCATTGTTATTGCTTAATTTAGTTGATAATAAATTTTATCATATTCAGTACTCGTGCCCTAAAACTATTTCAAGTGATGCTCAATCATTTTCTGGAACTCCACTTTTTTTACGTAATAGTGGCACTGATTTTGTTTTAGCTACACAAGAATCAGATACTATTTATTTTTACCATTTTACTTATACAATTGAAAACAATGCAATCAACCTCAAAGACTTTAAAAAGTCATCCCTTTCATTACCTAATGTAAAAAAGTTTAAATATGTAAATTGTGATAGTGATTCTTCATGTATAATTTATACCCAAACTGATGATTCAATTGTTTCATATGTTGTTAGTAATTCAATGGAATATTCTTATACAACAATTATAAAAGGAAATGGGTATTGTACTACACAAGAGACACCACCACTATCAACTAGAAAAGATGGAATGGAATGTGTTTCTAAAGATTTCTTAACTGTTACAGGAATTAATCCAATTTCATTTTCAACAGGATTTAGTGAAGAACCAATTTCAGCTGTTGTAAGTATGAGTAATTCTGATCCACTTTTTATTGCTTTTTCAGGAAAAAAAGCATATAGTTATCAAGGTAAATTCCAATTATTTACTAGAGAATATGAAATTGGTGAAACTGTTATTGCTGCTGTTGATCATTATGCGCTCACATATTCTGGGATTAGATCATTTGATATAGACTATCAATTACTTTCATTTAAAAGCCCTGATCCATTTAATTCCAGTTGTAGTGTAGAACCAATAGAAATAGTTTATAATGTTCCTGCATTAGTGTATCATCCATCAACTATTGCACTAACACAACTATATCCAAATGACTGTATTAAAGAAGTTTTTATTGACACTAATAATGATGTTAATTTAAATGAAAAATCATTATCAGAATTTGATTTTCAATTAAATATTGGAAAAACTACTTCCGTTCCTTTAACAAATTTATATTCACAAGGGTTATTAAAAATTAATAAAGAAGGAAAGACATATCAAAATGCTATTCAAACAGCTTATGAAATGAAAAAAAATGAAACAAATTCAATTAATGGAATGTACCTTTATTTCATGGTCAATTGGACAACAACAATTAATAGAAAAAATAAACAAATTGCTAGTATAACTAATGACAAAAAAACATTAAAATTAAAAGGAACTAGTATTACTTATAAAATTAATGCTCAGAAATATAAAATTAATATTATCTCAGAACAAGAACAACTTGTTGATTCTTCTTTTTGGAAAAATTTATCATTTGACCAATACGCTAATTTAATTAATATTAATACTATTTCAAATAAATATTTAGTTCAAAGAATTGTTGCCCAATATTGGAGTCTTCTTACTAACAAATACGATACTCTCGTGTCAAATATTTGTATCCCTTCTTCTATTACTAAAGAATTTGTTAGTTATCCAGGTGTCTGTTCTGAAACAACTTATCAATACTCATTATCAACACTAACTGGAATAGATGAAGAAGTACCTAATTGTTGTGAAACTTCAAGTTGTAATGACAGAGAATTAGAGACTGTTACATGCCAAATTCAAGGTAGTGATGTTTATTCATCAACATTATATAAATTAGCACTTCAAAAGAAATATGATTTTATTAATGAATATCAATGTAGAAAGTTATACTTTAATGGAGAATTAAATGCTACAGGATATGGAGATTGTATTTATTCAAAATTTGAATATCTAATAAGTTGTGAAGAAAAAGGTATAACCAGTGAGTGTGCTAAAACAATGTTCTCTAGTACTACTGCCACTACTAGTGTTGAATCAAAAGAAGTTCTTTCAGATTCTGGTGAAGAAGTAACTGTTTCTTCAGTTACATCTGATGCAACAACATCAGACAATATTGTTTCAACACCAGATACATTAAATGTTACAACCCTTAAATTTAAAGTTCAAAATATATTAAATTCACAAAACGATGATCCAAATCAAGACAACATTATTTTCCCTGTAGACAATTCTGCAACTAAAAGAAAAAGAAAAGCAAATAATTTACCTCCAAGACTTAAATTTAATGCACACAGAAGGTTTACAACAAAAAAAGGTGATTCAATTGATTTACCTTCTATTGATCTCGGAGAAAGTGATGATGATGGAAGTGCTTTCCTTGTAGGAGATGGTCTTACTATTGGAAATCAAGAATATATCACTGATGATTTCACTGTTTGTGTCGAAGTTAATGATTATTGCTCACAACAACTAGACCCTGACCAACAAATTGATTTAGTATTTGTAAGAACTGGAGTAAATGAAGATGATGAACTTGTTATTTTAGATTCAATGGACACTCCTGATTATTTAAATGAACCAAATACAAAGAAAGTATGTAATCAAGTTAATCAACCAGGAACAGTTTATCCTGTTGTAACACGTATTCCACCAAAAGATAATGTCAACGATACCTCTCCATTAAGTAAAATCATTGTTGGAATACTTTCTGGTATTTTTGTGATTGCGTTTTGCATCATCTCTTCTATTGTCATTGTTGTTTTAATCAGAAAACAAATTCGTCAGAAAAGATTGAGAGTCATTAATGAAGCATTCCAAGAAGATTCAATTTCTGACCTTTAAAAGATATAAAATTATTTAACAAATAACGATTATTTTACAACTGACTTTGTATTTCTTTTTTTTCTAAACCAATCCAAAAATGTGTTAAATTGTGTAATCTAAAAGTAACAAATGACAGATTCATACTTATTGTTAATAAACATATTATTCTCTTATTTATTTATATTTACAACTGATTATTACAGTACCATTTATATTCTAAGATAAATTCTTTGACAATTAATGAAAGAATTCATATTGATTCAAGTTGAATATCTATAATTATTAAGTTTCTTTTCTCTTCCACTCATTGATAACTCCTTCTTTTATTTAAACCAATTAAGTACAATAACTATCATTACTTTGAAAAAAAAATATAATGACTCCGAATAACCAAAGTTTTTTGATAAATACAGTCTTAATATTTTCATTATAAAATTCTTATTAAAATAGTTGGTTATACACTAGTATATACTAATAAATTATTATTGAGTATTGTTTCAATTTTTCTCATTTAAATAATGTAATAGTCCTTGTAGCTCATCATTCAGAACAAAATAATTCTTTAAAGAGCATTAATATAAAGATTAAATGAATTATTTTATTATATTGATAGATTTTTATATTCTAAAAATTTTAAAAATACTAAAATAAAAACTTAAAATAGTATAACAAAAAGGTATTATTTATGATCATCGGTATCCTGGCTCCTATGAAAGAAGAACTAGAAGCCATCTGTGACAAATATCCACAGTCAACTCTGTTAGAAAAATGTGGAATTTATTACCATTATATACAAATTAAGGGTAATGAAATAATTATTATGCAATGTGGAGTTGGTAAGGTTAATGCAGCATTATCAGTTTCTAATATGAGGCACATATTTAATGTTGATATAATTATTAACTTAGGTAGTGCAGGTGGAATGAAATTAGGACAAAAACCACTTGACATTGTTATTGGTACAGAGTTGGTTTATACTGATGTTGATATCACTCCATTGGGGTTTGCTTACGGTGAACTATTAGGTGAACCAAAGAGTTGGTTTAGTGATAAAGAACTTGTCTCTCTTGCAACTAAGTGCTCATCAACAGATTTACCAACAATTCATTATGGAACAATAGGAACAAGTGATGCCTTTGTTTCAGCTCCAATAGTACAGTCAATTCAAAATAGATTTAATAATAGAATTGTTTGTGCTGAAATGGAAGGATGTGCTGTTGCTCATTCATGTACAAAATTAGGAATTCGTTTTATAGTAATTCGTTCTTTATCAGACGTTCCTTCAGAAGATGGTAAGAGCCATGAAAAAATGATGGACTATTTATCAAGAGCATCACAGAACGCGTCTATATTAGTTTCAAGAATGATTGAACAATTAATACTAATAAATTAATTCTTAACTTTTGTTTTCCTTTTTCATTATCTTTTTTTTTGTAAGAGAACTTATAAAAAGAAATTTAATGTTTAGTATTAAAATCGATCCAGTACAATTAACACTTGATGTTGATGACCTCCCTCGTGAAACTAACTCAAGACAAAGTCAACAACCACAAATTTTTACTCAAAATCCACCAATTTCATCAAACCAATCAGTAACTACGTCTCAACAATCAATATTTTAATTAAATAATTTTAAACTATTTCAATATATTCTCTTATTATATTCAATAAAGAATAATTAAAACAAAAAGAAGGCTAAATTAGTTTTGTTCAAGGAGAAGAGTCTTAGTTGGTTGATCACATACTTCAGATGGACCGAAATATTGAATAGCACCTGGGAATACAAAATCTTCAGCTGATGCCCATTGAGCTCGTTTAGATTGATAGAATTTAAATGGCTTTCCTTCAGTCTCAACAAGAGCTTTTTTAATAACTGGTTTCATTTCACCATTTCTTTGTTCCATATTCATCATAATGGTTAATGGAACACCTCCACAAATCCATTCTTCTGCTGGTTTTTGAAGTCCTGAAATACAACAGATTTGTCCTGTTTTCTTAAGAGCGAGTAAAATAAAAGCAGTATATCCAAGTGCATAACAATAGGTAGAATCGAAATTGCTTGGGAATGCACATCTTCCTTCATATCCAAAGAAGTGATGAACTGGAGTAAATGGAACTTTAACACCTCTCTTAATAATTTCAGCTTTAACAATTCCTGATACAAAAGACTCAGTTTCAATAGCTGAAACATTTACATTTCCATGTGGGTCTCTATCGAGAAGAAGTTGTTTAGCAATATTATCTGGAAGGTTCTTGAAAGTAACAGCACAACCCTCAGAAATATTCTCACAAACAAATGCTTTTTGAGCTGAGAATTCAGTAATTTTAGAATATTCTTCTTTCTTGTGTGCAAGAAGATTATTAAGTTCTTTAATAAGTGCTTTAACTTCTGGAATAAATTCAACAAGTCCTTCTGGAATTAATACTACACCAAAGTTTAATCCCTTCTTATGTCTTTCAACAACAATATCTGCAATTTCTGAAGCAATTTGATTAACTGTCATCTTTTTATTTTCAACCTCCTCTGAGATAATACAATATGTTGGTTGAGTTTCAAGAGCAGCTTCAAGAGCAATATGAGAAGCAGATCTTCCCATTACTTTAATAAAATGCCAATATTTTCTTGATGAAATAGCATCTCTTTGAATATTTCCAATAAGTTCAGAATATGTTTTACAAGCTGTATCAAATCCAAATGATGTTTCAATATATTGATTTTTAAGATCACCATCAATAGTCTTTGGTACTCCAACAAATACACAATCTGATCCATGTGCAGCAAAGTATTCAGCAAGAAGAGCTGCATTCGTGTTAGAATCATCACCACCAACCACAACCATAGCATTAAGCTTTAATGCTGTGATATGTTTAAAAGCAGTAGCAAATTGTTCTTCAGTTTCAATCTTTGTTCTTCCAGATCCAACAAGATCAAATCCACCTGTGTTACGATGTTTATCAACAAGTTCTGAAGTAATTTCAATATAATCATTTGCAAGAATTCCTCCAGCACCACATCTGAAACCATAAAGTTTATTTTCTTTATTTCCTTTCATTAAACCATCATAAAGACCAGCAACTACATTATGTCCTCCAGCAGCAGGTCCGCCTGAAAGAATAAAACCACATCTAATAGCCCTGTGAATATCAGCATTTTTACCTGCAGTAATTTTACAAATTGGAAGTCCATAAGTATGTTTAAATAACTCAGAAAGTTCTTTTTGATCAACAGCAGATTGAGTTTTAGCGCCTTCTTCAATAGTAATATTATCTATATCGGCAATGTGTTTTGGTAAAACAGGTTTATATTGAAGTCTATATTGATGGAGAGCAGAAAGAGACATAAAAATTAAGATATTGTTTCTTAATGTATTAGTTCTATTTAAGTAGAGTGCAAATCATCGCAACGTGGCGAAGATTCTGAGGGTTTTTATTAGGTTTATTTGTTCATTTTTTTCGGTATTAGTTATAATTTACAATTCAAAAATGTTTTATATAACGGAGATTATGAAAGATGATGAAAAGATACAAGTATGGGACACATAATATAGAAAAATTCAAAAATTTTTGAACTTATTATTTCATTTAAGTGATTATATGAATAAATCAAATGAAAAAGATGTTCCATCTATGAGTATTTTGCAATCATTTGACAATATCAAAAATGATGAAGAGGTATTTAGTGCATTAAAGGAATTAGAACAATACAGAATTAAAAAAGAGAAAACATATGCAATAAGTAAAAATGAAGAGTATGATGATATTGCTACATCTTCTCTTGGATATTTAATAATTGATTATAGTATTGCAGAGTTATATGGAAAATTACGAGATAATCGTGTGCAGGCATTAGAATTATCTCAATCTCATTATATTTCTTTTCTTAATGAAATGGCAAGACTAAGATTTATTAATAAACAGTACATTACTGATATGGTTAATGGTATTAGTGAAACTCCAGAACAAGCTAGAAATACTAGGATTGAACGATTTAAGGAAAGTCAACAAGCCAAAAATATACTAAAAAATATAGAAACCAAAAAGAAACAAGAAAGAGATGGATTAGATGAAGAGGATGAAAGAGAGTATTGGAAAGCATTGTTGAGAGTATATATCCTTAATTCAATCGATAACTTTGGATATCAAAAAAGAGAAGTTACAATGTTAAAAGAAATTAATAAATTAAAAGCCAGTGGTGACTTTGAAAAAAGGAAAGAAAAGGAAGACCAAGAAGCAGAGAGAAGAAGGGGTGGATTTAAAACTTTTACTATTCCCAAACAACCAACTGTTCAAGACTTACAACAATTGCAAACTTTTGCAGCTCAAAACCAAGAGTATTTTACTACACAATCTAATAATAATAATGATATTGTTAAAGGTTTTACGTATAAACCTGAGAAACTTGAAATCATGCAAAATGTATTTAACCCAAGATTCAAATATGGTAGAATGATGACTGATGAAGACTGGGAAGCAGAAAAAAGAGATGAGATGCTCGAGCCTGTTGAAGAACCAGATCATACATCTGCGGATGATGATTCAAATGACGATGATGAGAAGTTAAAAGAAAAACGTGAATGGGATGAATTTAAAGACGCTCATCCAAGAGGGTCGGGAAATACCCTTAATATGGGATAACAAAGAATAATTTTATTTGTTTTAATTAATTATCTCTAATTAAATCATTTTTTTTTTGAGGAATTACGAAAAGATAAAAACGAACGGAAAGAGCTCATCTTCATCTAAAATATTTTTAATTGTCATGTCAAAAAGAAAGGATAGCAAAAAGGAAGTAGATGGTGAGAAAGTTGTTTTTGAATATATGCAGAAACAAAACCGCCCTTATAATGCTAAAATAGTATCTGAAAATTTGCATGGAGATGTAAAATTAGCTGAAGTTACAAGGATATTAGAAGAACTAAGTCAAAAGGGGGATCTTATTGAGAAAGTTAATGGAAAACAAAAGATTTATTGGTACAACCAATCAAAATTAACTAACATCACACCAGAAGTTATTAGAGAATTAGAAACTAAAAGACAAGAACTAAAGGTCACTCTTTCCACAACTAAAGAAGAGTTAATGTTAGAAGAAAAAACAAACAAAATACTTTCATCACAACTATCAAATGAAGAGTTAGAAAAACAGTTAAAACAACTTTCAGAAGAAGTTAGTAAGTTAGAAGAGAAATACAAGCAATTTAAGGACCAAAAAATAACTATTGACCCTAAAGAAAAAGCAAAGTTATTAAAAGATAATGACTTTTTTGTTAAAGAATGGAAAAAAAGAAAAAGAATATGTAAAGATGCGTCAGAGCTACTTACTGAGTCATCAGGAATGAAAATCAGTAAATTATATGAAAATCTTGGAATTGAAACTGATGAGCAAAATGGATTTACACTTGATAAACTTATTGATTATCAACCAAAAAGGTCATTAGAGCCAAGTAGAGGTAAAAACAAGAAATGAACTATTGTTTTGTTAGAAATAAAAGGTTAGATACCAAATACACAATCGTCTAATTGAATTGTTACGGGAAATGAATGCTGGTTAAGAGAAGTACATTGAAGAAAGCAATTTGATTGAATATGAGTTAATGAAGAAGGGAAATGAATTGATGATAATTTACAACAATTTTCAAAAGAATTTTCCTCTAATTCAATAATTCCATTTGGAAGATCAATAGAAAGAAGTGAAGAACAATTAGAGAAAGTTGAGTTTTTAATAGATTTTAATGAAGTTGTATCAAAATAAACTGAATGAAGAGAAATACAATTAAAGAATGAATAAACGTCTAAATATGTTAAACATGCTGGAAGATCTATTTTTAATAAACTAGTACATGATTCAAAACAACTACTTTTTATTGTGTTAATAGTAAATGGAAGTTGAATTGTTATTAAATTAAAACATTTTCTAAATGATCTATCATTTAGTTTTTGTATTGACATTGGAAGATCTATTTTTGTTAAAGAAATACATTCATTAAAACAATTTATTGGAATGTTTGTTAATGCGTTTGGAAGTATTACTTCTTTTAATGATGAACAAAAAGAAAAACAATCATCTCCTAAGAAATAAACTTGAGAAGGAATTTTTATTGAAGTTAATGAAGTACATTGAGAAAAACAACCTTTTTCAATAATTTGAAGTTTTAAAGGAAGAAGAATTGATTTAAGAGCAATACATCCTTTAAAACAATCATTCTGTAATATAGTTAGATTTGTTGAAAGTTGTATTGAAGTAAGAAATCTATTTGAATAAAAACAATATGACTGAATCTTTTCAATTGTATTTGGAATAATTAGTTGTTCTAATAACGTTTGTTCAAAACACCCAAATCCTAATGAATTTACTTCTTTAGGTATTTCAATTGTTCTATTTTCTCTATCACTACGTTCATAACAAATATTTAACCATTTGTAATTATTACTTTTTTTTTGTTTATATGTTTTATATGAAACCTTATGACAAACAACAATATTAATAATTCTATCTAATATCTCTTCTCCATCTTCGTAGAGATATTGCGTTTCAATATTTGGAAATAATGAAAAACTTGATATTGTTATTGGATTATAATGAAATTGTTCTGTTATTCCTTGAAATTTCTTACAAACACACATAACTCCAATGTAATCTTCTTCATTTTCAAAGTATTTACATACTATCATCATAGAATACCGATCAAGTTTCATTATTTTAATAGAACTGAAAATAAACTTTTTCAGTTTTTTAAACATAACTAAAATTTAAATTTATGTTTCTTCTTTTAAAGTTATTTGATTTAAACAATTACTTTATTTGACTCAAAACAGTAGTTTAACAGACTTTGATATTCTTCATAACAAATAACAATTATCTCTATGTTATAAGTTTTTCATATGAATTGTTCACAAAAACAAAAAAATTATTATATCATTAGAAAATATTTACTTAATTCTAATTAACTAAAAATAATTAAATAATAACTTTAAAATATTGAAATATTTTTTAGATTTAATGACTTATCATAAATAATAATCCAAAAAAAGAGTCAAAAATACTTTTATTTGTGTTATTAAATATATTTCATTAAAGAATATTCCCTTTTTTTATTTTTTATTAAAAAAGTATTATGAATAAACTAATTAAAACTATAAAAATAGTATAAAATACTATAATTTTTTTGTTATTTTTCTTTTTTTTTTTTTTTAACGTAAAATACTTTTTAAAAAAAATTAATGATGTTGAGAAGTGAAAAAAAAATTAAATGAAGGACAATAAAAGAATTAATTAACTAAAGAAGAATAAAGAACAAAACACTAAAACTCTAAATTAGATTAAATTGAAACAATTTTATTTTAAAAAAATAATAGCATTAATCACGCATTTTAGATATCACAATAACTATATCAAGAAGAGCATTATGATATTGAAAATAAGTAGGACCTGATTTATAGAATAGAATTGTTATATAGTCTAATGGAGGTGACACACAAATAAAACTAAGAAGGGCTGAAGTATTAAATGTTTCTTTTAAATTGATAGAAGTCAAAACACCGTCCTCATTGAAACACTGAATTGAGTCTTGATAAATACTATTACCAGAACCAATAATTTCATATTTACCATTTTTGTGTATTTTAAATGAAATTTGTGGTTGGTCCATTCCAGCAACTACTCTGACTGATTTAATTAATTCACTTGTTTTCATTGTTATACGAGCATCTCCTTTTTTCTTTGGTTGTTGAAATTCAATTGTACTTTTACATAATACCAATGGAATACTTGAAGTAAATGGAGAACCTTTTTTGTAAGTAGTAAATAATATTTTCTTCTTTTTTAATTCAACAGTTAATTCAGAAGAAATTTGACATGTTTTTAAAATATAATTACAGAAGAACTGACTTGGAACACTAAATTGAATTCTTTCTTCACATGATAAGTAGTGAAATAAATCCTCTTTGAGTTCAACTGAGAAATATACTGTGGTTGAACTATTAATCATTTGTATCTTTAACGAATCATGATCTAATATAAAAGGAATATAGTCAGCATTTGTTTTTTCAATCATTTGAACAATGCCCTTAAGTTCTTCAAGGTTTTTAAATGCGAATTTAGCCATGAGATAAATAATGATTATTAAGATCTTTAATAGTAAAAAAAAACTATTTCAATTAGTTCTTGTATTTTAGTAAAATGAAATATAAATTTTTGGAAGAATGAAAAGGAAAGAATCCAAATGGTGAGGATGAAAAAATAAAGAAAATTTGATAAGGAAAAGAGAGAAATTTTTAGGGTTGTTTTGAAGGAAATTGCAAAAAACGTAATTCAACATAAATTATTGAAAATACTGTTGTTTTAACTAGAAAGAAAAGAATACAGAGAAAAGAAAAAGTGGATGTGGTGCATAGAAACTAATGAGGATAAGGCATATAAATACTTGAGAAATGTTTTTATGAAAAGGGTTTTATAATGAAAATAAAATTGAGATCGTTCATTTTCTGTTTATGAACCAATCACCACCACACGGTGATATCAATCAATCTTGTGACGTAGTTGAAAAGAAAGAAGTTTCAACAGATCACAATACACACCCATCTATTATTCCTAATGGTTCCCTTCAAGTTCAGGATAATATTCTTACTACAACATCTAATAACACGCCTCCAGCAATTGTTCAAAACCAACTTGACGAAAATATTATTAACCAAACTGTTTTAAAGGAAACTGGAAATAATACTAATTTTCTTTTAAAAGAAAACACTCAGTCTAATGAACAAACAAAAGTTAAACAAGAGTCTTACATCATTAATTCTTTTGAAAGTGTTAAACAAGAAACTAAAATAGATGAAGAACAACCTATTCAACCGAAACAAATGAAACACGAAGAAAATGTTTTAGTGCCTAAAATTGATGGAGAAGGTATTAAACAAGAAATAACACAAGAGCAAAACCTTCAAAAGAATGATCTTAATCACAAAGTTAAACAAGAAGATATCCAAATTCATGTAAAACAAGAACAACCATTACAGCATATTCACAATCCGTTACAACCCCCTATACAACAAATAAATCAACAAAATCAAAAAATACCGCTACAACAACCTTCTTTAGTGTTAAGCCCAACTCAACAAATTGGTATTCCATCTAATGGAATAGTTTCTCAACAACGAATTCCTCAACAACAAGTCCAACAACCTCCAAATGGAATTGTTAATCAAAACATATCCCAACAACCTGGAGTCATTCAACCTCATACAATACTTACTGCTTCAGGAATGATACAACAAAACCATGCACTAAAATTACAATTAAATACACCAATTCCTCAACCTACAGTATCTCCACAAGGTATTCAACCAATACCAAGAGTTCCACAAGGAGGAGTTGTTCCACCACAACCAGGATTTCAGCCACCACCATTTCGATATCCACAACAATTTGTTGGTCAATTTAGAGCACCGTTTAATGGTAATATAAATCAAAGAGTTCCATTAGGTAATTATCTTAAATTTGCACCTGTACATAGCGTGTTACCACCACAAAGAGTTGGAGTTACTCCTAATGGGCAGCCTCCCTCAGGTATGCAAAGGTGTCAATTTAGACCTATGTTTAATCCCGTACAAGTCGATGGAAGATTTATGCAATACCCATTACAAGGACCACCACCACCTTCAATGTTTCAAAGTAGACCTGTTGTTCGACCTCATGTTAAATCAACTGTAAGACATGACATTCCAGCAGAGACGCAAGCAAAACTTCAGTCAATGAAAGCAGCTACAATTACAAAACAAGTAATACCAATACGAGTTATAGAAAAAAAGGAAAAAAAAGTAAAAGAAGAAAAAGAGGAAGTTATTCCAACAAGAAAGTATTCATTTAGAGATAGAAAAAAGTCAGCTAAAATTGTTGAAGAAGAACAGTTAGATGAATATGAGTCTGAGTCTGAAAAGAAAAAATCCACAACAATTAAAAAGTTTCTTAAAGAACCTACAACAGAGAAAATTGTTGAAAAAATATTATCTATGAAAGGGTCAGATGATTTAGACGAAGCTGAATTTATGGTAAAGTATAAAAATAGAAGTTATAGAGATGTTGAATGGGTAAAAGGAAAAGATTTATCAGAAGTTATTCAACCAACTCGACTCAAACGGTTTGCTTCTAAATATCATTATAATGAAGAGGATGATATTTTTCCACCTGAATATACACTTGTTGAAAGAATTTTATTTGAAAAAGAAATTAATGGAGAAGAATATTGTTTAGTAAAATGGGGAGGAGGGTTATCTTATTTAGAAGCAACATGGGAAAAGAAATCTGAAATTAAAGACCAAGACAAGTTAGACGAATACAAAAAGTTTCATATTCCACCAGACCCATCTACTATTGAACCACCACTACCTGATAGATTATGGCAAGTACAAGAGCATCCATATAGACATGATAATACATTACGTTCTTATCAGATGGAAGGATTAAATTGGTTAGTATTTAATTGGTGTAGAGGAAAAGGGTGTATTTTAGCAGATGAAATGGGTTTAGGAAAAACTGTACAAGTAGTAGCTTTCTTTGAACATTTAAGATCATTTCAAAAATTACCAGGACCATTTTTAGTGGTTACTCCATTGTCTACATTAGAACATTGGAGAAGAGAAATTAATGAATGGACTGATATGAACGTTGTTGTATATTTAGGAACTAAAGAAAATAGACAATTAATTCAACACTATGAATGGTTTTATTTAAACAAAGATGAGAAAGAAATATCTAAACAAATTAAATTCCATGCATTAATTACAACATATGAAATGATTATGAGTGATTATGAAATATTATCTCAAATACGCTGGCAAGTTACTGTTGTTGATGAAGCACAACGATTAAAGAATAAAAGTTCAAAATTAAATAAAACATTAACAGAAATACCATCATATCATAAAATATTATTAACCGGAACTCCAATTCAAAATAACATTGATGAATTATGGACATTACTTAATTTTATTAATCCAGAGAACTTCCCTTCTTTAGAAAATTTCCATGAAAAGTTTGGTGACGCTAAAACTGCTGATGGAGTTAAAGCATTACAAACAGAAATTCAACCATATCTATTAAGAAGAGTTAAAGGAAATGTTGAAAAATCTATTCCACCTAAAGAAGAGATATTAATTGAAGTGGAACTAACTTTAGTTCAAAAGAAATATTATCGTGCATTATATGATAAAAATAGAGAGTTTTTAAATAAAGGATGTGTTGGGTCTAATGTCCCTCATTTACAAAATTTGATGATCCAATTAAGAAAAGTTTGTAATCATCCATTTTTGATTCCTGGAGTTGAAGAAAAAGAAATTGCTAATCCAGAGGACCCAGAGTCATATGCTCAGGAATTGATTAAGTCATCAGGTAAAATGGTATTATTGGATAAATTATTACCAAAGTTGAATACAGACGGACATAAAGTATTAATATTTAGTCAATTAAAAGGAGTATTAGATATATTAGAAAAATATCTTAGTTATAAAAAATATACATATGAACGGCTTGATGGTAGTGTTCGGTCGAATGATAGACAAAACGCTATTGATAGGTTTATGAAAGGAGAACGATTTGTATTTTTGTTATGTACTAGAGCTGGTGGTATTGGTATTAATCTAAGTGAAGCTGATACAGTTATTATTTATGACTCTGACTGGAATCCACAAAATGATTTACAGGCACAAGCCAGATGTCATAGAATTGGACAAAAGAAAGAAGTTAAAGTTTATAGATTAGTTAGTAAGAATACGTACGAACGTTATATGTTTGAAAGAGCATCAATGAAACTTGGATTAGATCAAGCTATTTTATCAAATATTAATAATACACCTGGAGAAGTTAATAAAGAAAATGAAAAATTAAGTAAAGAAGATATTACTTCTTTATTAAAATATGGAGCTTATGGATTATTAAAAGATGACGATGATAAAGATAATAATTTTTGCGAAGAAGACATTGATCAAATTATGGAAAAAAGAACTTCTAAAGTTGTATGGAAAGGAGACCAAGTTGCAGCTTCAAGTAGTTTTTCTAAAGCCACATTTGTTTCAGAAACAGGAGATGTTATTGACTTAAATGATGAACATTTTTGGGAGAAAGTTTTACCAAAATTAAGAACCCCTGGTCAATTATTTAGAGATTTAGAGAAAGCTTTTGAGTTAAATACTGAAGAATTACTTGTGTGGCTTGAACAAAATTTAGAAGAGTTTATTATTGAAATGAAACAACACATTGATTCTATAGTAGAAGCATACAATGAGGCTAAAGGACATATCCTTCCTGAAAGAGATACTATTGTAAAATGTATTGAGTTATTACTTACAAAAGAGGATTTAATTACTGAAGACATTGTTGATGAATTAAAAACTACATTAGATACATTAAAATTCTCTAGAAAGAAAAGAAAAAATGTTTTTATTCCTATTGATGGAGACGAAGAAGAATTAAAGAAAGGAAAACGGTTAAAGAAAGCTGACATGCCAGAAGAAATAAAAAAGAAGTTTTATGAAGAAATTATTAATGTAGGAAGAGTAGATTTTACTGTTATTAGAGAGAAATCAGGTATCAGTATGGAATGGGAACAAGATGAACTAAGGAGTATGGCCATTATTTTCTTAAAACAGTGTGCAGCTATGGCAGATAAAATTAGTGTAAATAAAAGATACTTCACACAATTGTTAGAACAATATCATTTCGTTAAACGAGTAAGAAAAGGTGGAAGAGATGATATATTGAAACAGGGGCATGTTTATTCATTAAGAGATGATTTCTCATGGATAGAAGAAAGTGTAAAGAAGTGGGAATCAAAATTAAAATATATGAATAGATTCCTTAAATTGATTGGTCCAGATAAGCAAATACCAGAATTACATTCTGGAGTTCACTTAACTAATTGGTGGACAGAACAATGTGACCATGAATTATTAGTTGGATTTTTAAAATACGGATTTGAAAGTAGAGAATTAATACAAGAAGATGACTCATTAATGTTCTACAGATTATTAGAAAATCAATCAGAAAAGAGTGAGAAAAAAGAAGATGAAGAACCTGCACCAATTCAAACATCATATGAACTTCCAACAAACCCTGTATTGACTAAACAAATAAAACTATTAATTTCTCTGTTTGATAAAAAGAAGAAACAAGAAGCTCAAATGGAAGTAGAAGAAAATGAAATAGAAAAAGAAAAGGTAGAAGTAGAAAATAAAAAGACAGATGAAGAAAATAAAATAGATAATGAAGAAAATAAAAAGATGGAAGAAGAAAATAAAATAGAGAATGAAAGAAATGAAGATGATATAAAAAACCAGAGTGATGAAGAACAAAAACCAGATAACAATTAATTCAATTATTGTAGTTTTCTAAAAGAATTAATTTTATAATTAAGTTAGTTCCAGTGTAAGATAACCATATTTGCTAAGGAAAAAGTATTAGGATAGACAGTGTCATTAAAGGATGATGCAACAAAGTCTGCTGGAACTGAAAATTGATCTTTAACTTTTGGAGAGATAAATGAATTATCTTTAGAGCCAATATAAAAACAACAATGAGCACCAAGAATCCAACTACGATTATCAATTGGGTACATTTTAATAGCATACCCTGTTTCTTTCTTTCTTGCAATTTGTGGTTCTGGTTGATGATTATTGTTTAAACTAAATACAAAGAAGTCATCAGGCTTTGCTTGAGTATATGCCCCATATGAATCATTTTCATTTACATCTAATACAGCTTTAGTATTTTGATAACAACCAAAAATATTATTGTGAGAATCTTGAACAATAATCATAACATGTTCTTTATTATCGATTTGGTTGTATATCTTTGTACGATCATAACCATCTACAGCATATTCAAAAACAATATCAAAGTGTTCTAAACCAGTCCATTTCTTTAAAACATTTAAAAATTCTTCATAAAACTTTCTTGATGTTCCATTTACAACTTGATTTCTTCTCATTTCTACAGTAAGAGTTTCAATACTCTCTTCTACTTGGTAAATTTTATTATTCATTTCTCTTACTTCTTTTTTTAGTTCGTTTAATGTTTGCGCTAACAAATTAAGTGTCTTTTCTGTTTCAGTCATTTTGTAATTGTTAGTTTAGTTAATTTGTAGTTTATATCTTCTCAGGTTTCAATCAATCAAAATCTTTTATACAAAAAATTAAAAAATTGTGTTATTCATAACATAAAATAATCAAAAAATTTGGATAATTTTTGCTTTTCATTGAAGTGACTCAACCCATTTTGTTACTCTTCCAAAAATTGCTTTTAAAACTCGAGCAAACAAACTTCGATGCTCTAATTCTTTTTCTTCACCTGAGCCAACCAATGCCTCTGGAGCAATGACCGCAGACGCTAACAACAACAAAGGAACGGTCCATAAAGTATAGATATTAATTAATAATAATCTCCAAAAATGCCATTCTTCAGACAAGAGGAAATGAATAGCAAACACCAAATGAGATAACACAGCAGCAACACACCCTCCAAAGAAAATAGGTGACTTGTAACTAATATAAGGAACGTCTTTGCATAACATAAAATAAATAGCTTGCGAAATAAGATTTATAATAACAACATACCATGGAACAAATCGAAGGCACAACAAAGTTTGAAGAGTAGTTCCAACAATTAAATATTTGATTATCCTTTGTGCATGAGATGGTTTTTCTTCAACAAACAATGAAAAGACATAAAGACCTGCAGCTAATGAGAGTCCAATAAATAATAATAATACTATAAAAGCAGGACCATAATTTAAAAAAAAGTGAAGAAAAGAAAAAAGCAAAGTGGAAATATTTATCATTCTTTTCTTTCTATATTTATGAGTTACTTTTTATGTATTTTTATTCTTTTTCTAAAAAATATAATGGGTTGACAAACAAATATGTCTAAACATATTTGTGTAGATTCCCTTCTTTTTCTAACATTTCAACGGAGCTTATATTTCTAAAATACAACCACGTAAGAAATGTATTGATCTATGTTTCTTAGTTCTCTTTTTTTCTTTTTCTTTTATTGACGTGGTGCTATCTCATTATTTATCTTTTTTTCTCTTTTTCAACTTTCTGTTCTTCTCTTTTCTCTTTATATTCCTCATTTATCTCTTTACCTTTCCTTTAATTCTTTCCCCTCATTCTTCTTTTTCTATGTCTTATCTTCTCCTAATCGTTAGAGTGATGTTATGACATTGCATAAAACAAGCCAAAAGAATGAACAAGAAAATAAATAAAAAATAACCTACTATTCAACATAACAAAAGAAATGTGACAGGGTAAGAGTTTGGATTAGTAAGATAATATATACAGAATAAAATTAAAAGGGATAAGGTTTAAATGAGATACACGTCTGCTGGACTTATGGGTATTGAGAAATGAATGTCTTAATGACTTTAATATAAGATTTATTTCTAGTATATTTGAATTAGAAGGAGGTTTTCCAATTACTGTATTAGAACTGAATATATACAAAATTAAACCTTTCTTGTTTTTAATGTGTTATGTATTTTATTGCAATTTAAATTCATTATAATATTCAAGTATTTTATTACTATGAATTGAATAACAGTATTATCTTAATTATTTCTACATTTCATTATTAACATTAATTTATATCAGTTTTTATTTAATGAATAACATTGTTTAAAAATTTATCGTTTTTTTTTTTGACAAATAATTCATTAAGTTCTAATAATAATGATTAGTAGAATAGTGGTGATATTATGTGTTGATAATATTTTAATTTATCAGTATAGAACATGTATACTAATTAATATAAGAATTATTTATTGAAGAGAAACTACTTAATAATGAATTATATTACGAATAATTAAATTGTTATAATGAATGGTTAAGCAATAAGATAACAAATCCTAAATCAAATTTAGTTATAAACATATTTTTTCTATTGAACTGACAAATAAAGAAGAAATAAATAACACAAGAAGTAGATTTATTGAATTATTTATTATTCAGATACAAACAAATACTATTTAATATTATTTTCTTTCTTCTTTCAGAATTAAGTTTGATGATTTAAAGTCATTAGCAATGACTAATTATTTGATAAAGAATATTGGTTTAAAATAATTTTTAATTCTGAGAAATATAATAGAGTATCTAGTGATTCATATATCTTAAGATTGGATTGGCCTCAGATGATTTTTCAGATATAAAAATAAATTTTATTCGAGTGTACTGATTTAATTATCAAAGTTAAAGACAGTTCTAGTCAGATAAGAAAGTGATCACTATGAAAATACTCTTTTTCATTTTACTGTAATGTTTTTATTTTGTTATTATTGACTCCATCTATCTAAACATGTTTGGTGTTTCTTTTATGAACATTTATACACTGTTATAAACAAATCTTTTTTTATTTCTGTTTTGTTAGTTTTTATTATTAATTATTTTATTGTTTTAACTGTTGTTAGACAATTATTGTTTATTCATTCTCTATTCTTTTCATTTGATGTAAATAAAATTCTTTCATTTATAATAAACAATCTTCTTTACAAATACATTCATTTATATTTATGGTTATGAATAATATTATTACAAACATTATTTATTCTTTTCTATATTTTTTTTATCATTTTCTATTTAATTAAAATACTACATCTGTATCTCTATTAATTTCTTCTTTGTGTTGATATCTGTATTATTTTTTATTACTTATTTTTACAATTATTTCTCTTTAATATTTGTTGTAGTTTTCTATTTACTTTTTAATTTTCTTTAAAAAAATTCAATGTTTTTGTATTAATTAAACAATACTCCTTACGTTTAATAAAATATAAAACAAGTCCATTTATAAGATTATGAAAATATAATCAATTTTATAAGTGTTCAAATACTAATAATATTTTATATTTTAATAAAAAACTGATTGAGTATTATAATAAACTCAACAACAAACAAATATCAATAATACTATAGTAGATACATTAAAATAGAAATTTCATAATAACACTACTTATAAAAGATGTGGAAATGAAAAATACTATCAAAATGATATTACTATTATTCAAAAATAATAACAAGAATATAACAAGAAATAAATTAAATATAAATAAATAAAATAATAAATTCAAAATAATTGAATAATATAAAATGAAATAATAAAATAGAAATGAAAAATAAAAGAATTAAAACATATAATGTATTCTAACGAAATATAAATAATAAATAATATGAATGAATCATAAAATTAAAATTGATATTGAAATCAAATGGTATAATAAATAAAAGAAATAAACAGAAGTATTTTATTATATAATAAATAAATAGAAATGAAATAAAAGATAAAGATAGAAATAAAGAATGAAAATAATAAGAAAATAACTAGAGATGAATGAATTGAAGAATAAAATAGAATTAAATTAATTATTGTTATAAAAATGATTAAAATAAAAGAATTAAATATAAATTAATATTTTTATGATTGATAAAATTTATTTGTATAGATATTAATTAAATATATTTATAATCATTTTATCATTTGTTCTTTAAAAAAAACAGAGCGTAATATATTTTATTTTAAAAGGAATAATGTATTTTATAGTTTTATTTATCTCATTCACCATTAAAATGAATTTTGTACTATTGTTCATTAAGTATAGTTTGTTTAATCGTTTAATAATACCATTTTTATTTATTTCAACTTCAATACCTATACTGTTAAAGGGTATGTCATACCTAAAACAATGTTTTATTTTAGTATATAATTAATATTAAAACATCTATTCTTTTTATTGGAATATTCTTTTTAATTTCTTTGAGTATATTGTTTATATAGAGAATCAAGATATAAATAATGGAACACGTCGTTTAATCACACAAATAAAATAGTAGAGAACTGTGACTTCTGGTTACTTAAAAAAGTGTTTTAGTTAATTCATCTATATTTTTATAAAAATTGCATGGAGTTATAATGGATATAATAACAAAGTCTTAAATCAACAACAATAATGTCTCTCGTCATCAAAAAAAATAATTAAAGAAATTTTTTAGTTTAAAATTCTATAAACTATATTGAAGTAGTATCAGATAAGGTTTTCTTCTTTCCTTGTTTATGTGTTTTTAAAAATGCATTGATCTCATTCAAAAAAAGTTAACTGTAATGAGTTATGTTATTGTTATCTAACAATAAAAATATTTTATTCTTAGTTGAATCAACTCTTAGTCGTCCTTGACTCATTCAACTACATATAATATTTTTATATAACAATAGAAAAATTAAGAATTGAACGGTCAGATGAATCCCACTGAAGATATCATCAAAGAAGGAGATACAGTTGTTATGTTTGGATCTCGTAACCAATATGAAATTATTCAAGTTAGTAAAGGGAAACAATACCATTGTAAATATGGTATATATCCACATGAGTTATTAATTGGTAAACACTACGGTGATGAGATATCAAGTAAAGATAATAAAGGACATATGTATGCCTTAGCATTAACACCATCGTTGTATACAACTGTTCTTCAACACCGTACACAAGTATTATACCATGAGACAATATCACCAGTATTATCATATTTTGATATTACTCCAAATTCTATTATTGTAGAATCAGGAACAGGGTCTGGATGTTTATCAGCAGCATTTGGATCACGTTTACAATTTGGTAATGAACATGGTAAAGGACATTTATATACATTTGAATTTCATGAACAAAGAAAGATTAAAGCAGAAGAAGACTTCAAAATGCTTGGACTTGACAAAGTAATTACAGTTGTATTACGTGATGTTGTACAAAATGGATTTCTTATTGAAGGGGTGTTGCATGAACAAGAAGCAGATTGTGTGTTTTTAGATTTACCAAATGTACATGAAGCAATTACACATGCATATAATGTACTCAGAGTTGGAGGTAAAATTTGTTGTTTCTGTCCATGTATTGAACAAATACAAAAATCAAGCCAAGAACTTAGAAAAGATGGTAGATTCACCAATTTATTAACTAAAGAAAATGTTATTAGACCATATTCAATTAAAGGAGTTGGAAAAAGAAATGATGATTGTATGTCAAGTGAAATATTATGTTGTCCAACAAAAACAATAAAAGGACATGTTGGATATGTAACATTTGCTATTTAAGCTAAGTGATTTATTTTT